GGCAAGCTAAGCTTCTTTGCAAATAGTTCTTCAAGGGCATCCACTTCTCCGTCAAGGCATTCTTATAGAACTGATTCTAAAGTGATCGAGAGAACGTGTGCAAGCACAGATTAGGTAATTCACATTGTCAGGAACTTTTTATGTCTTGTTAGTATGTGCAAGCCTTACGAAATTTTCACTTTTGTATGCGTCTTTTGGCCTCCTTGTAAAAAAGATTTGTGCTTTGAGTTAGCGATAGCGGGGAAAGATCTTGATTGTAAGTGATGCTTTTGGTTGAGTACAGTTTTTACATTTGTTTAAATTCTAAATCATTAAATTAAATTTCAACTTAATTGCAAAATGTAGCAGGTTAAGATTAAATAATATAGACTCTATGCTGGATATGTAGAACCAACAAATAAACTTATATAGCTGCTCTAATAAGGTAACAAAACATTGGTGCGCGTAATCAACGTACAAAAACACGGTTTAATAAATGCCTTGCAGGACTAATCTACTCGAGAAGCGTTGGAATTGCACCCGAGACCCAGTAGCCTCGCTTTGTCGCTCCTCTTCCTTGTTTGGCAAGGTAAATTTTACCTTAAGGCGAAGCGACTTACGAGCACTTTCAGGTTTTCTTACACAAGATTTCAGCAAGGGGACTTGCTTGCTCTCCCTAATATTAAGATCAGCAAGTTTGACCGTAATGTCGTTGTTGCCATCATCATATTTTCTACGACGTCTAGTTTCATTTTTTGAATGTATCGGAGGTTTCTGCTTAGATTCTTCGCGGGTTTTCTTGTTTGTGGATGACAACTCTACTTTGATATCTGTTTGGAGTCTTCTGTCAGAGTCAGCATCTTCATCACTCAGGCTAGGGCTTACAGTAGCACAAGCAAAAAACTGAAGCTTAAGCCTTCGCCTCTGCTCGTGGTGCTTCGGTGTCATATCAGCATACTCCTTGGGAGGAGAACTATGTTCATGTACTTGATGGTGGCCACGAGCTTTAACAGATTGCTTCTGTTCAATCAAAGGAGGAGGCTGATTGCCGTGCTCTCTGGCTTTAAGCAACTGATAAATCGTGCGGTTAGGAACTATAAAAAACACTTTCCCGGGAATCAAAACTGCTTCAGGCTTAACCACAATCCACGGGAACTCAAAGATGTCTGGCCTAGTTATGCTGTGCCGGGGGTACCTTCTCATCACCTCTTCAGCTGTTACCGGTTTCTTGTGAACCTCCAAACGCCTCCCTGGACGCACCAATTTCAGCACACCTTCCTCCCTCACTACACTTCCCATCGCCAAATCAAACGCCGGTAATATCTGATCAAGTATTTTTTTCTAAGCAGCTAGGAGTTAATGGACAATAAGTCGAGGAAGAGGAGCTACCAGGCTGCTCAAGTTTGCTTCTTATAATGGTAATAAACTCACTAGCAGATGAAGTTTTGGTGGAGAAACTTATGAGGAATCTTTGGAGGGGAATGCCAAAATTAGCTGGAGGAATGTGACTTTTCTTTGTCCACATAGATTCTGTACGCATTTGAGTAGATTCTTTGTTTGTTTTACCAAACTTTGTTTGGTGTTTGTGAAGTGTCTTATCCTTAATCTTAACACTTTGTTTTGGCTCCTCAGAGTCTCAAAGGACTCGATAGTTGAGCAATGTGACAACACGGCCGCCTACATGGTGGTGCAAAAGACACTAGTATGGAAAGGCACCAACTTATTGTACAAACTTTTTGCATCCCAACAGATGCAAACAATAGAGTTGTGTTACTGGAAGGGAGTCGCCTACGACCAAGTATCAAACTTACCACAAATGTATATTGTCACACAGGTGTTAGTCGAGCCTGAAACCTTAGATTAAACCAAATGTTAGTGGAGCTTCAATTTATGCTAAATTATTATCTCTTCCTACCATCAAACTCTTAATTAACAAAATTTTACAATTTTTAAATAGTTTATTCTTCTTACACAACCATTCTTCCAAAATTTCTTCTTAGAAGGCTATGTTTGACTAGGGGATTTCCTAGTCTCAGGGGATTGATGTCAAGTTAGTAAGGAATTTATTACAAAATGACAGATACAAGGGATTAAAAATGCTTTTCATGATCATTACTAAGGCACGCTAGAGGGACTTGTAAATGCATCATTCTAGATAGTGATTTGCAAATCCCTCTTACATGTCTTTGAAAAGAATAGGTAGTGATTGAATATAAACATAAGCTTATTATATGATATTGATGAGTTAGTAGGTAAATTTTACATTCTTTTTAACTTGTTACATACTTTTCTTTATTTTTAGTTATTAAATTGAATATATCAAACAAAAACAACGAAGATAACTAAGAGCTCATTGGAAGTGCCTTTAAAATAACTGAAAGCGCTTTTAGAGAAAATAATTTTAGTTTCAAAAGCGCTTCAGTGCTCTTTGGCAAAAAACACTACTTATGCGCTTCTTAAAAAAAAAAATATTCATTTACTTACATTTTCACTAAGAATTGGTTCTAAAAATATTTTTACCAAAAATGATTTCAGATATTTTAAAAACACTCACAAATGAGTTATATACAAAAATATATGGGTAAAGTACAAAAAACTACCTCAACTATTGATGTCACGACACTTTCATACCTCATCTTTTAAAATTGACAATATCATACCTCATCTTACGAATTTGTGCCAATGTTATACCTTCCGTTAGCTTGGCTTGAATTTCTCAGTTAAATGCTAACGTGGCTTGATCCGGGACCCACCTTTTATTAAAAAATTATTAAAAACTAAAAAAAAAATTTAATATTTTTTAAATATTAAAATAACAAAAAAAGTAAATAAAAAAAAAACCCTTTCTGAGGGTGGGTGAGGGGGGAAGACAAATTTGGTTTTTTTATTTATTTTTTATTTTTTTACCTTCTTTTTTCTGGGTCACAAGAAGAGGGAAGAAGATGAAGATGGGGGAGAAGAGAGAGGGGGGAACTGGGGAAGGGGACGAACTTGGGATTTTTTTTTTTTTTTTAACTTTTCATTATTATTTTTATATTTAAAAATTATTAAATGATTTTTTTTAGTTTTTAATAATTTTTTAATAAAAAATGGGTTTTGGATCAAGCCACGTCAGCATTTAATTGAAAAGTAAACGGCCAAGTAACGGAAGGTATAACATTGGACTAAATTCTAAAGATGAGGTATGACATTGTCAATTTTAAAAGATGAGGTATGAAAGTGTCGTGATACTAATAGTTAAGGTAATTTTTTGTACTTTACCCAAAATATATTTTATCATACTTCAAGTAAAGATAACCAGTTGGGGACTTGAGGATTATTGTGCTCAAAATATCTAGTGGTGCGCAGTCAAAGCAGAGCCTCAAGAGCAAGATATTTTTTCATGTGCCCCGAAACACTAGTTGATACATCATGTGTCATTATATAAATAATGTTTTGTACTAAAAAAATTAATTACATAAAAAATAAAATTTTCACTACTTATATAATAATATGTAGTGTACCATTATATAATAACATGTAGTATATCAATTGCCTTACGAAACAAAGAAAAATTTCTCCTCAAGAGCAGCATAAGATTGGACGAATTTAATAATGTGTGGCAAACAACATTATGATCCAATGGAGGTGCCTCGAGATCATCGGCACCCGTTGACACTGATCCTACTCTTTTATTGTTTCCTCTTCCATTATTCCACTAGTTCCAGTTAAATCAAACTTGTCTTGTTTTGCCTTCTGGCTTTTGCTACTTATTTCCTTTTTTTTTCTTTTTTTTTTCTAGCTTTTTTCTACTTATTTAATCAACGGATTATCCAAAATTGGCCCTACCTAAACCAAATAGAAACTTTCCAAAAATGGATAGATATCAAACCAAGATTTTGGTCATAAACACTCAATCACCCAAACTTCAAAGAAAAAAATTGTAAGTTAAAAGAAAAACTGATAATTAAGTATTATACAAAAACTCTTAAAACATAGTTTAATCGGGGGAAGGAGCTCATTGGCTATTCACCTTTTATATATCTAATTGATTCTTAATTGTGATATTTCTTTTGCAAAGTTAGCTCAATATCTTTCTAAGTACTTGTCTGAAATGTTTCTCTTTAAAGAGTAACGTAATAGATGACTAATATGCATAAAGAAAAACAAAATAGAAGTCATGACTATTTGATAGCAAAAGCCTGAAGGAAAAACAAGAAACAAAACAAGCCAGAAGCATAATTCCACCACTTCTACTTAAATCAAAGTTGTCTTGTTTTGCTTCTTGTTCTTCCTTTTGGCTTTTACTACTTATTTTAATAATAGATTATCCAAAAATGGTCCTAAAACAGATTTAAACTTTCCAAAAATGGATAGATATCGAACCTTATAGGGTTCCTATATGCCCCAAGAATTTGATCATGGTACTCAATCACCCAAACTTAAGAGAGAAAAAAAATTGTGTGTTACAAGAACACCTCTCATAATTATAAATTTTATACAAAAACACTGAAGTATATTAATTGGAGGAGAGAGTTTATCGGCCATTCACTTGTTATATTCTAATTGATTCTTAATTGTGATAATTCTTTTGCAAGGTTAGCTCGATATTTTTTTTTAACTATTGGTTTGAAGTGTTTCTCTTTAAAGGGTATGTAATAGATGACTGATTTGCGTAAAAGAAAAAACAAAACAAAACAAAAGTCATGACTATTTGGTAGTGAAGAACTTTTATGTCACTATATCGATTCTCTTACCAATCATGTACTGCTATGTGCAAATGTTAAGACACATGACAATACGTAACTCAAAATATTGTCAGAGTGGGATCTATAAAGTAGGCAAGTTTCTCTAGTAGTTGTGGCCTCCATGAAGAGATTTATCATAGTGTAGTGATGGAATCACTGGGTGTAAATAGCAGGTCCGTAAAACTTATGTGGGCCCCTGAATCAAGCCCCAACATCCAGTCACAATTTTGTGTGTATTGGGCCTTGATCAGTCCCACGACATGTTGTATCAGCAACCACAACTCATAATTCAAGTGAAGTTTGAAAGAGAAGGCTTAAACTCATTCCCGAAAGAAGTCAAATACATCCTAACATCCCTTCATCAACAACATTTCCAAACCCAAAAACTAACAAAGGGTCTTTGCGACCCCATCATAAACTTATTCGAAAGCATTCTCGCTTCTCCTTCGGCTTCTACGTTTATGCCGTTGATGATTTGGTGTAGAAGCGGACGCCAAAGGCTAAGCCCAAAATTAGCAGAGGAACAATGAACTGGAGGAGTTTGATGACGAAATCAGTTGTCTTGTCCTGGTTGTAGTGAGGCTGCTTGGGAGGAGTGTACATCCTCTTTGCGGGGATGGATGCTGAATTAATGTCTCCAACGTAAAATTCGTCCATCATTGCTCTAGCAGTGGAACTGTGACCAACATCTTCGAAATCATTACTTGCGTCCTTTCCTGCAAACCAAAGATCATATTAGGACCACGAATCACATCGAATCAATATGTTTCTGTTTCGGCCTATATATTGTGTTGTGTGCATATGAAAAGGGAAACAATTTTGTTTGTTTGAGAGAGTGTCACTGTGTTGTACCTGTGGCTGCCAATAAGACCTCATCACCACCAGGATGGTCCTCCAAGAATTTTGTTACATCATACACCTGTTTCAACACGTTTATCACAATATAAATAATCTACCTTCGCTTGACCACAAATTTCTTCCATATTGCTACTCCCTCCCCAAATGATTGGCAGTGAACACACACAAAGAGCAACACATTTTTCCTTGAGATACAAATAATTGACAAACGGAAGCATTATTACAGTCAACTTTTGTAATATAGAACTGAGGGCACATCAGTTGGTAATGAACGTGAACACAGTGGACCGAACAGATAATCTACGCTTACTAAGAAGGGAACCTGAACTATGCCAAGTTAAATCAGCTACACTAATACTACTTCAACGAGGAATCAAAGAGGGCTAGCCGGCTAGGAATCGGCTTTGTAAAGTCCATCTGCAACATTTGCACCATTTTTTATTTGCTGTGCCTTCATGCAATAATTTCATTAAAGTTAATCAATCATTTCACCCCCAACTAAAATCTTAATAATTAGCTATTCTCCACAAAGTATCACCCATTTTAAGAGAAACCAATGCGCAGTATAAGCACAAGCTATCGCCTTTCGAGGCGATAAATTCACTAAAAAAACAAAAGAAATGCACATCCATCAGCAGTTGAATCATGCTCCTATAAGTTGAAATCTATATCTCAACCAATGTCTATCAATCTGACTCGTACCAATCTATAAACTTGTAATTTTCCTTGTTTTTATAGCAATCTCGAACAAATTTCATCCTGATCTTATTCCAACATGCAGTCAGAATATGAACCAATATTCAACTATACCAGTCAAAACCCACCAACAAACACTTCACCTAGATCCAATCAGAGCAAAACCCAAATTCAATCACACACAAATCCCAAAATTTAACTGAAAACTGCAGCTCAGAAGAAGCAAGAACATTACCTTTCCATCGATGACAAGCCAGCAGTCCTTGCGATCACTGTGAGATGAGACCTCAGCCAAAGTATAAACCTTTTTGTCTCCAGCCATTGTCGTCGGAGGAGAGTCAGAGGCCGGTCTGCTTCTTCACCTCTAAGACTTGGAAATGCAGAGATTTTGAAGATTTCAGAGTTTGATTTGAAAGGGTAAAGAAGGGAAAGGTGGGGTTGGTGGTTTGATTGTGCGGGAGTTGGGAAAGTAAAAGGGTGGGATGGCCTCGTCGTCCACCAACCACAAACTCCCTATATATTTGGTGGTTTTTTTATTTCTTGCATAATCGCTTTGCGGAAAATGTTCATATTCCACGTAGTAAAGCTTGTTTGTTTGTTTATTTGTTTATTTATTTTTCTGAACAAAATAAAGCTTGTTTGTTAGCTTTTTATTTTCCTCCGTCTTGTGTTTTGGTCAACTTGAGGGACATCAAAAGGTTGTGCAGGCTTGTAGCTTGAGTAGTGAATATCTTGTTCACACATTCATGCTTAATATTTGGTTGCGTAGGTAGAGTTTTCATCAGTGAGTCGACTCTACAACTTGTACAACGGTCATATTAAATTTTTGTGGATATGATCATAACTTGAGATAGTGCATTCCATGATTCTCACTAACTTGTTTTGTTTATTTTAAAGACTTTCTAACACATATATTTTGTAATGCCTATTTGTGATCCTTTAGTATAGAAAAGTTATTTTGCACAGTTGCTCGTATGCAAAAACTCTCACATCGATGGGATCACAAGGTACCTTAGATGGTATGAAAACATAATGACTCTCTATTTGGTGAGTGGCCGCACATACTTATGATCCTTTGATCACACACTAAAATTTCTCCTTAGACCGAGATACATCTAAACTTTACACTACACTAAAAACACATCATATTGTTAAGGAAATGCTTGGTAACTTATCATCTAGCACTCACTTTCATATCTAAATCACTCCAAAAGAATTGTTGTGAGGAAATAGGATTTGGTTCACAAATTTTCTGTAGTGCACATCAAAAGAAAGTTCATTTTCGAACAATAGTGCACTAGAGAAAACCTCTTGGTTCTACCATCCAAGTCAATAAAAAGCCCAATTACTGGCTCAATTCAAAACATCATTAGAAATGTTCAAAGCCCAATAGTCGGCCCAAAAACCAATGCAGGGCCTGCGGTTAACAAAAACCCTAGCTGTGAGAGAGAAGCGAGTGGTGGTGACCAATGACCTTCTCAAAGGCCAGCTGACCGCAGTCGTGTGCGCCGAGCAGATCGCCATATTAGAAGGTTTGGTGAGGCAGAAGCTAAAGTACATGAAGTTCCTCAGGAAACGCATGAACACCCTACCCTCTCCCGCCAAAATCTTCTGGCACAACGTCCGAGGGTAATGCTGTAATTTCGTAATTCACACTCTGTTCCTTTGTGTCTCTGTTTCTCTGCTTCAAAACTCACAAGTGAGCATGGTGGTGGTGTGACTTTTTATTTTTGTTTTTTAAGTGTTTGATGAATTGCTTCAGTGAATTGGGGTTTGTGATCAATTGTGAAATTAGGGATTTGAGGCTTCTGAATGGCCACAAATATTGCTTGTTGGGTCAGCTTTCGTCTGAGGTCGGATGAAACCATTATGACACCATCAAGATAACATGAATTTCAACTCAAAAGATTTATGCTTTTTACAATTCGTGTTTAATGATGTCGAAATTTGTTAACATTGCCTTTTATTTGTTGTAAGTAATTTGAATGTAGATTGTATTTTCTTGTAATTTGAATGATGTAGATTGTTGTTAGCCATAGCAGAGTTGATACATTTGTTACCTTACAGAGTTATCTTCATACTTCACATTTTTCGCTCATTTCACTTTTTTTTGTTGCGGATTACATCTTAGTGAGTTTCCTTGTGCTTTTATTCGAGATTACATCTTAGTAAACTTCTTGTCGGGCATCTTGTTTTGAGGAATCAGATCTTTTATTCTGATAATTTTAAATTAGGAACTTGTTTACCTGTCTTTTTCACAGTACAAATAGAGGACTGGACATCATACAGTAAACTGCATGATAACAAATATCTTTGGAGTGACGTCTCATTTGCACGAGGGAATTTGAGCATTACCCTCATTTCCAACTCGGTGCTAAAAAAATGAAGACCTCGACTGTTTTTACGGTGTTGATGTTTGCCTTTCGGACAAGCCTTGGTTAGCATATCAGACTTGTTCTTGTTGGAATGTAACTTTCCAGCTTCAACATTTTCCTTCATGCACATGTCGGATCCAGTGATGCCTGATTTTTTAGTGTATTTGAACTTGGAAGTGAAAACTTGGATTCGACTTGAATCTCGAAATCTTTAGAGGATGACTTGACTCTAGAATGTACATTCTTGACTTGGAAGTGAGAAGTTGGATTGGTCTTGAATCTGGACGTTGGTGATCAAATGTAACACATATAAGTTAGCAAGAAATGTAGAAAACAACGTGCAACTTGTTGAAATGATGGTAAAAGGTGTGGAAGTAAATATTTAAGACATAAAACTTGATGAATAATTTGGTTGGACAAGAAATTACCTCTGACGTTTAAAATGTGAGAAATCTCAGGCCAATATTCAATCTTCATACTCATCTTAATTAACTAATTAACCAAAAAAGAGGTTTGGTCAATACTCAATATTGAAGACGAAGAAGAAAAGAAAGGGTGAAAGAAAGGGAATTGAACAAATGAATTATTTGGTTTGAGATAGAAGAAATTACGGTTTAAGCCTGGAATACGAGAAATCTTGGGCCACTCAGTGCTGGTACCCCTGGCGCATCTTTCCTTCAGAATGGGACATCCTAAAATTATTAGATGTTCTAGATTGATGAGGCGTTGCATAGCTTGGGCGGAAGGCATAGACTTGAGATTCTTGCAATCATAAATGTATAATCAGTAAAGAGATGTAAGGTCACCCAACCACTCTGGAAGAGTTTCCAGTCCATCACAATTTCCTATAGTCAAGTATTTTACAGGACTAGTTGAGTGATGAATTACTTGAGGCAAAGACTTGAGCTTAGGCCACCCAAAGAATCCTAAGATCTTTGATGATGGAATTTTCGAAACCGGAAAAGAATCGAGCTTCTCCCACAACTCACCAATCCCCAATCTTTCCAGACGAGTCAAAGTGTGTAGACTCGTCGCCAAGTATTGTAATATTTTACAATTATGTATTCTTAACATGGAAAGAGATTGCAAGCTAGTTACATCGGCATCTGCCAGAGATATCAAATTTTCACAGTTTCGAATTTCCAACCTGACAAGGGACGTGCAATTGCGTAAGGAAATCTCCTCAAGAGTACTAATATAGTAGATGTTCAATTCCGGTCCACCGTAACTTGTAATAACCAATTTCTGAAGGGCGGTCAACCTCCTCCCCTCATTGGCAACTGAATTCCAACTTAACTCAGGACAATTCACTATACTTAACTCCTCAAGAGATCCATAATCACCTGACAGGCTTGATAGTTGAGCACAATCTTCCATGACAAATTGTCGAAGGGATGGCGGGAATACAATGGATTGTAAGTTTCGGCTACCTATTATTTTCAATCTCTCAAGTGCGTTGCAATTTTTCAACTCACTCGGCAAACGCGAAAGCTTCTCACAACCCTCAATCACTAATCCTCGAAGACATGGAATGATTGGAATGAATGTTAGACTAGGACAATTCCTTATAGTCAACTCCTCAAGAATAGTGAGTGTGTCTAGCCCATCAACTGAAAAATGGCTCAACCTTTCACAATTGTAGATACACATTGAACCAAGGGATGTACAATCCTGTAAATAAAACTCCTCCACTGTAGTACTGCTGCCGGTAGACAATTCTGATTCACTACTTGCAATAAGTATCAGTTTGCGGAGGGTCGTCAGACTGTGATTGGAAATGCATATTAGCTTAGGGCAGTTATAAATGGTCAGCTCCTCTATAAGAGATATGTCTACCCCATAAGCTGAATACTGCCCCAATTGTTGATAATCGTGGACACGCAGCGCACAGATAGAAGTACAAGATTCAAGCCCACGTCATACACAAGTTTTTAATCCATCACAATCTTCAACAGTCAATTCAGAAAGGGATGTGCATCCATGTAAACCTAAAATTGACTCTACACTTCTGCACGACCTTAAAGACAACACCTTTAGAGGAATATAGCATTCTGGTAGACTTTGCAGGTCCATTGATCTTAATTCACCACATGAATTAATTTTCAATCCTTAAAGGGATGTTGCACCGTGAATTGAATTGGATATCAGACTAACGCAGCGGCTTATTTCCAATTTTTCAAGAGATGGACATTTTATGGACAACTCCTCAAGAGATACTCGGGTGTACAATTCCAATCCTCTATGTAGATTCGTTGATGTCAATCCACCACCACCACCACATGAACTAAACAACAATTTCCGGATGGATATCAAACCAAAAAGGGAAAGGGATCTAAGTTTGTCACATCTGCTTATTTCCAGATTCTGAAGAGAGGTACACTTTTCTACCAGACTTGTTAGGTCTGATAGCTCGTGACAAAAACTCATCTTCAACTTACGGAGGGATGAAAACTGATTAGGAAAATTTCTCATTTGAGGACACTCCACGAGCTCCAACTCCTCAAGGCAAGGAAACACTGTTATTTGTTCCTCTTTCCTCACTGGTGGCTCAATCCATTCGATCGTGTTTAGGAATGCACAAATTCTGAATGTCTTCAATGCTGGAAACAAACCCTTTGTTTTTATTGCATCATCAACACCATTATAGCCATAAAACTCAACTCCCAAACGTTTTAGATTATGCATTGTATTAAACTCAAGATGCATAAGACTAGGTAGATGGCCAAGCATGGACGCTTCTTCACATACGTCGCACTGAAGTAGTCGAATCTTTTTCAAGTTGTTGTATGGCTTCCACGATGGAAATTGAGCACCCATGAAATTGCAAATCTCCAAAATTTCCAAATTAGGGTGTGGCTGGAGGCCTTGGAGAACATCATCTTCACTATTGTTGCATGGCTTCATTTCCTCACCCCATACAAGTGATAAGTTATGTATGTTTCTCTTCCCAACTAAATTTGATTTCTTCGCTTCTTCTCCATCTCTCACATGTTCCAAATCATAAATAGCTAGTTCACCTTTCAAATGGTTTAAGCCAACCAATTCCTCAATACTACGATTAGTTTCATCAGGACTAACAACAAAATAAGGCATCGTTCGAAGATTAATCAATTGCCCAACCCCAGCAAGAGATTCCCTATACCAACCAAAATTTGCACGTTTCTTTTTTCGGACTGGACCAAAATAGATGTGTCTCAAATTGACCAAATTTCCCATTTCCTTAGGGAACACTTTCAGACGTCTACAATACTCCATTCTTAATGTCTGTAAGTTATGGAGTTTGCCGATAGATTTGGGGATTGCTTTGATCTCTGTTCCAGAAACGTTTAAATACCTCAACTGTTTCAGTTTCCCAATTGAAATCGGTAGCTCCTTAATATTTGTGTTGTAAAGATTCAAGACATGCAAACCTCTAAACCTTGGCAACATGTTCCTAGGAACTTCATTATTAGAAAACAATGAGCGCAATCCCCTTAAAGTTTTCTTTGGAATTGATTCCAAAACTGAAGTAGGAATGTGTGAAGCATGTCGAATCTTCAATGTGCCGACCATCTCATTAGAACCCGAAGTCGCACTCTCAGATTTTGATACAAGTTCTGCAAAATCATGCACAAGAGCATGCATCTTGCATTTGGCAACGACACCAAATTCATCCTTCGTAAGATCTTGAAGTAAGGAGTTTTGCAACAGAATATGAAAATACTCAATGCCTATATCCTCAATCTCTAGATCACTATTCTCGAAAGAAGGGTGAAGCAATCCTTGAGCCATCCACAATTGTATTAGGTCATCCCTTTCAATTTCAAAACCTTTATTGAACATTGAGCAATAAGTGAAGCATTGTTTCAAAAATGGGAGTTTCAAATTATCCAGACTCAACTTCAATTTTGAGAATATAATCTCTTTTGCTTCTGGAGAGTCCCATATTTTACTTTGTAGAATTGTTGACCATTGATTTGCACCATTCTTAGAACGCAATATTCCTCCGAAAACCTGTTGGTTCATATATGGTTAGATTTCTTGTTAAATAATTCATATATGGTTCATGAGTACTATATATTTATTTTTGAATAGCGTCATTTGGAAGGCATGAAAAAAGAATGTTGTTACTTAATTTCTTAATTTTTTTGCGTTTTCCCTCTTTTTTTTCTCTTTTCTATGAAACGAAATGGATTCCATTATTTGGTATCCAGAGCCTAGTAAAAGCTATTGGCAATATATCTACTCAATGTCCAAGTGCATGATGTCCAAAGCTCATGTTGCTCTAGGGTTTGGAAACAAGAAAATGGAATTGGTTTACAAAGCACAAACTCCACATGAGTGTCTAATCTTCCACTTGAGGCAGTCATATCTTCCCGTGAGGAAATGAGAGTTTGGAAAGTCTACTATATTATTGGATTGTCCAATGATGGCATCTCTATCATCCAAGATAGTCATGTCTTATTTGACACCTGTAGTCTGGATATGAGCTAGCCAATATTATATGTAGCAAAGTCGTCCATGCACTGTAGGAGACCGAAAGACTTGAAGAAACCTTTACAATGTTAGATGAGAACAAAATTTATGAAAGTGTTCATGATACCAGACTTTGGCCATTCTATTTAAAGATAATTGTTTCATAGTCAAGGAACTCTTACGCTGTTTGGGCTTAAAATATCATGTTTCGGCTAAGAAGAGATAAGTAAAAATTGAAGGTCGTGGCTCTCGGCCCAATAGTGATCCTTAAGGCCATATGGCTTTCTCAACCCAGAAAATGATGATTCAACCAAGTTCTAATGGAAGTGGGATTGCTAAGGGATCAAACTTATACATGGATGGGTTGAGCTCGATCGTGAGTTGGCACGCCCACATCCACAAGAAAGATATAGGTAACATAGTAGTTACTCGGCATGCGGGTCACTTAGGCTTTATAATTTTCAAGGTCAACATTTTGGCACGCTCAGTGAAACCAAGTGCTAAAAACTATGAAGTTCATGACCACTAAAAGTCACTTTGTCAAGAAGAAAACAACAATGGGGAAAACATCGACAAATCAAACATCTACAAATCAGGCAAGTCATCTGACGTAAAAATTACACATGATCTTCTCGTTGCCGTCAAGCCATACCCTACAGCACATCTAGAAATTGAGATAATCTCCACAACCAGAAGCTAGCGGCGATGATTATCGGATGACTACTAAGCCCGCCGATTTTGGGTCTTCATAACAGATGGTTGAGGAAGACAACGATGAGCCTCAGATGATGTACTTCCTAAAACTTTCATTTGATGTAGGCTCGCCAAAAATACCAGACATTTAAATTTACCTTGGAGAATGAGCTCGGCCAACTCAGTTTCAAACAAGATATAGCAAATCAATACCATAAGGAAGTATAACGATCTCATGAGGAAACGAACTTTTGTTAACATAATTGTTCACTAAAATTTGACAGTCCAAATGTCACTGTTAAGAAGCAAGCGCCAAGTGCAGTACCTTCCAAAAGAAAATTCTTAGTAGTATATCAACATTAATGCTGCTGGAATTATCATCGATAAGCATTATGTGTGTAAGGCATTGTCCCAAACCAACAGGAAAGATGTCAAAACGCGAACAACTTCGGCCTAGACTGCAGTCAAGACTGCAAAAGTTTGCACCTTTGAATCACCAGGGCTGATGTTATTTTTGATCAACTCTTCGCGGGAAAAATGATCAAGCTTTGTCTAGGCCATGTCATACTTAAGGCCGAATATTTGACGGGAAGTGTCTATTGAGTGCCACCACTCCAACAAGTATGCCACCAACAACTGTGTAGTGTTTCGAGATGCTAATGGCTGAGGGCCAATACCTGACCACTTTCCAATGCCTCGACCACTGACATATTCTCTGTGAGGCACTTATTGGACTTAGAACAGTACTAGTAGAAATGAAGGTCTCATGTTCCCCTTGTTGGACAGGTTCATCATCTTTGCCAACAAAATTGGTGTTCAACGTGTTGTAGTTGAGGAAGTTTTCTGCAAACTTGGCGATGTCTTCCTTTAGCCAATTGTTCTTACAGTCCTTGAGCTTCAAGACTCCTAGGCTTTCTCGTTAAAGATGGCCCTCAAGTCCAAGTCGTACTTACGTGTTGACAAAATGCAGTCAACAGGGAGGCCGGTTAGAGATGTACCGAGAATGGTGGTGACATCCAGTATAGTAGGGCTCATAGGGCCAATGGGGAAGACCATCGTGTTAATGGCTAGGTACCAAAAATTAAGGGTCGCCACTAAAAGTTCTCGATCCATGTTCATATCTACTATGAAGATCTTGATGGTGTCGAAAATGCCCAGATGTCACGCATTGCTAAAGTGGAGCACCATTCAGCTGACCCATGAAGCCCAAATAGTAGAGGCTGAGGGCCAAACGGTCTGGGGTTTGGCGACTCCCAACTTTGAAAAGTGATGTGAGTAGATTTTCCTTCACCAGTGAAATGACCGAGTCTAAGATAGTTCTTGATCAAATGACCAAAAACCTAAGACTTGGCTTATGGCTTATCAGGATATTTGAAGAGCTTGATGATAAGGCAGTCAAGGAAGCTTTTAATGTTTTGAAGTGAGCTGTTCACAGAAGCTTAGAGGTGTTTGAGTGCTGGCCATTTGAAAAGATGGGGTTTCGAGTTGGAGAAGTTAAAGCGGTTGGTAAGAAAATAGAGGAAGCTTGAGAATTCTAGGAAATTGAAGTTGCAGAGTTTCTAGAGGGTTTTGAAAGTGTGAATGAGATGAAGAAATTTCTGAGGGTTTTTATGGGCAACACATAAGAGAAAGAAATGATTAAGTTATTAATTTTGAATTTCAAAATAGAAAAATCTCGGATGTGTTTTTCACTCATTGCAGTTTTGGCAATTGAAGCGACTTGGGCCAATTTTCATGCCACCTAACCCAATATGAGAATTGATGCTTTGGTTTTTAAAACGAGTCAATCAAAATGGGACATTTTAACGACTAAGCTGTCTAAAAGAGTGTGTCGCATGAAAGGCCAAATCTAGAGAGTTATGGTAAGAACTCAAAGCGTGGCAGAAGTAATTAGGTTGTGTCAGTCGATGCAGAGTTAGCGTGCACACCTGAGTAAAGGCATTTATTACAAGCCAATAGAGGTGGTTGAAGAATATTCGCTTCTTCAAAACCATCCGACTATATGTCTATGGTCAAAGATTTCACAAGCGAGGGGCAATGTTTGGGCCTGAAATATTGGGTTTGGGCTGAGAAGATAAGTCAAAATGGAAGGTTATGGCTCTCGGCCCAATAGTGATCCATCTAGCCAAATGGTTTTCTCAGCCCAGAAAATGATGATTCGACCAAGTCCTAATGAAAGTGGGATTGCTAAGGGATTAGACTTAGACGTGGCTAGGTTGAGTCCTGGTTGAATTGAAATTGTTAAGGGTCCAAAAAGGTTTTGATAAGACTCGAATTATTCCAAGATGAAAACCTATGCCTAATTAGATAAGAGTGAATTAAGTGCATAAAAAGGCTAGGTTCAGAGTCCTAATTCAAGTCAAATAGGCCGAGACCTAGTAGAGATAGAGTCCTGGCATAGTAGGGGGTTTGGTGAGATAATGTCAGGAATATCTGAATATGGTCCAAGAAGTCATAGTCCTATTAGGACTTTACTTCGACAGACTTGGCTATCACAAAACTTACCTCTATAAATAGAAGTGGTTTTGCAATGCAAACAGCCTATTCAACTCAACAAACAACTCAAAATGCTTTATGCAAAACCTTCTCACACCCTAAAAAAATACTAATTATCCTAACCATTTTCCAATGCACCTTTAATTTGGATTAACAACATTGTGTTGACAATCGGCAACATATTTAGTTTGGATTAACATCACTGAGTTGTAGAATCAGGCGATCAGAAACATATTCAGTTTGGATTAACATTACTGCTTCTAGTTGGTTTGCTATCTATCCAAGTCTCAGCCAGCGAAGATTCTACGATTCTTTTGACAAACAAGGTCTCATCAGCTTCCCAACAAAGTGAGTTATTCTATTAGTGGTTATTCCTAGGTGGATTTCAGAGTTAAGCATTCAGTCGGCCTAACAACATTCACAGTAAAGACATTCATTCATTTGAGTATCTTTGCTCTTACAACCTACTACTGATTCGATGCACCTATATTTTCACAAATATAGTTGAAGTTACCGAATCTGGTGCGGAGAATTGAACTTCATAGTTGAAGGCATAACCTTGTCTATAGGTTCTAGAACCCTAGGTTGAGAGTGTTCCATCGCTGGTCGTAGTCGCTCGGTGCATAAATTAATAGTACGTTCAACACCACATGATCACATCTATTCTACTTGCCTGACCGAGCTCGGTCGCACGTTTGCATGCCGCATCCATAAGAAAGACGTAGTTAGCTCAACTATTAATGAATTGCGCATCACGTGGGCTTTGTAATTTCCAGAATCATCATACGCTTGACAGAAGTGATACAGTATTGTGATGATAATGCCAAATCGTCTGATGCCTCGCTACTTAATTCGAGAAGGCAAGATTATTATTGGATCAAGACAAAGTTTGTTGATACCTATATGCCATATGTATCAAGGACTACAATACAATTGATGAATTGAACAACTTTTTGGGTCTTTGTTTAGTAGCATTATATGCATCAGAATCATGAAGGAAAAAGTTGTTCAGTTGGAGGCTAGTGTGCTTGTGGGATGCTAGGAGATTTGGAAATTTTGCATTTTCACCAAGGTTGTATTTGGGGAAATAATCAGCAACTGATGACAAGTTTGCACTTGTTTTGGTTGCAGCTACCATGCTAATATTTGAATATCCAATGGTTTGTAACTGGGTGAACAAGCAGAGACAAGCCTTTTCATTTCTACATGACAGATTGCTTGGAGAGGGTGTTACTTGGACAAAGGCAGAGCATATTGGGTCTAACTTAGCATATCTAGTATTAGGGCACGAAGACATGCCTTTATTTAGGGGGTAGGGTTGGGATTATAAGGACCCTAACAATATTAATGAGGCAATATCTATAATAGGGTTAATGGGTCACTTAGACCCACTAAGTAGATTACCATATATTTGGTAATAGCCTCAATTGTAAGGCAAGAATTAAGCATATTATTATTTAATTTCTTAATTTTTTTAGCATTTTCCCTTTCTTTCTTTTTTGGCGTTTTCCCTTTCTTTCTTCTTTATACGAAATTGGTTCCATCATAGAATCAAAGGACAAAATAAAGTAGAGAGTAGAGACATACGAAAGTTACAAAAGGTTAAAAGAATGTGCGGAAATTATAATGATAACAAATAAGATTCCAAACAAAACAGTATAAACTTCAAATAAATAATACTAAATTAATAGTCCTTACCTTTGCCACAGATGGTAAACCTGCACACTTTTTGGCAATCTCTCTTCCAACTTCCTCTAGATCAGGATCTGTAGGAGCAGCAGTATTATCTACAAATGCTCTTTCCTTCAATATGGACCAGCATTCGTCTTCAGATAGCAGAAATCCCAAATCATAGCAAGGAAGTGTTTTTGTAATTGTTGCAACTTTGGAACTGCGTGTAGTGACAAGTATGGTGCTCCCCCATGCAAAATGGAGTTCTGACAAACAACTCATCAATTTGCTCCATTTTTCAGAATCTTCATTCCAAACATCATCGAGTACAAGAAGACATCTTTTCTCCATCAACTGTTCTTGGAGGCTTTTAAGCACTGCCTCCTGACATTGTGTATCAACCGTTGCACAGTCAACATATTTTAAGATTCGACCCAAAATTGAAGCGACATCAAATGTATTAGATACATGTATCCATATTTTCTTATCAAAGTGTTTACTTATCTCATCTTCATTATAAACTAACTTGGCCAAAGTAGTTTTTCCCAAACCTGGCATTCCCACAATGGCCATAACCGAAAGAGTTTCTTGGTTGACTTCGGAACGGGTCAAGTTTGCAAGTATATTTGACAAGACCTCATCTCTGCCAACGATGATTTCATTGCCAATTGATGAATTGGTTTCTCTGACCGATCTCATTGCTTGAGAAGTTGCATCTATGTTTTTGGAAACTAGTCCCATAATAGACACCTGATTCTTGAGCTCCACCAACGATGCGTTGATGTTCTTAATTTTATGTGCTGCTTTAAGACGAAATGCAACCGGATTAGAGAGTGAAATGAAGTTGAGTACCTTTCTCTTCAAATGGTTTTGTATCTGTAGCCTATGGCGGAGAACTTCATAGTCAATTTCCTCCAAAACATCATCGGCATCATTAGCTACGTCTTTAAGTTTCTGCGCCCACAACGCCACTGCCTCACGCGGATCTTGTAGTTGCTCAGCAGCTTCACACGTGATATCTTGAATCAGGGATAATGTTTGATGCAGGCCTGTCAGTTTTGCTTCAAGTCCCCAAGAACGGATGAGCGGTTCAGTGGCAAGTGAAGCCGCCTTTGCAAGTATTCCCTCAGCAGTGAAACTAAATATCTCTGGCATATCCTTCCTTTGGTACACAAAAGAAGGAGCAGATTAATACTCAGCTACTCAAGGAAAGTAGATGAAGAAATCGAGACTAGGAATCTAAGAGTCTTCAACAACAATTTGTGATTTGGAACTAACCTGGGTTTATGATCTGAATTATTACGCTTAACGTGAGGAAGGTCGGGGAGAGGCCTAACCGAGAGGCCTTGGACTCATGGTTGTGGAGAAATAGATTGAGTTCTTGGCGAGAGAGAGAGAGAGAGAGAGAGAGAATTGAAGTGTGGGAGTTGCAGAGAGAGGACAAGGAAGGTAATGAAAAAGTTTGGAAAAGTGATTCGTTTTTTGAATTAAAGTTAGAGGAAAGAGAAAAGCAAAGGTTGTTACTCGTTAGTAGTTTGCATGGGAAAGGAAGGAATAAAGTTAATATGGAAAATGACCAATTTTTATTTGAGAACTTTAACTAAAAATTTCGGGTACTGTTCACTTTAACGAAAAATTATATTTTTACACTAAAAACAAATCCTGATACTATTCACTTTACCATTTATTTTGTATTTATCGTTAAAATTCAAAATTTTCAAACTTTTTTCATTAGTTTTCTTTTTTATTTCCCTTCCAACTCTTTTGTAACCTTATAAATCCAACCAAGATAGAGACCAAAAAGACTTAAATGACCTTGACACTTACTGCACAGAGATGATTTGTGCAATGCCAGACGGCCAATGTCCAGTTCGTGGAGAGATTTTTCGGTGTTCCCATCACACGAAATGGTACACCACGTATCCCTATATAAATTGTGAGTTATGTGTGTTAAAAGGTTAATAACTTAAAAATTAAATTAAAAGTTTCCACCACTTGCATAAAAACACGTGGTGTACCATCCATATTCCCGTCACAACTAAAAATTTTCCTAGTTCGTGAATCGTGATTCATGGCTATTTTCCCGAAAACTCCTCCCCATACCAAGCAACGAACTCTCTTTTCCATTTGAACATTTTTAACTTTCTGCAAATTTGTCTTTATCCAAACTTCAAGTTTTAATGAAATCGGAATAATGATTTTAATGTCAATTAATTTAGATATTTTAGCTAAAATAGTTTTTGAGATTGAAATAATTTTTCACCTTGATTCTGAAATTTGAAATCGATAAAAGTGATCCATGAGTTTGTCTACTGTCAATCATTTTAGATTAAAATTAATTTATGATTGTTTTTAATGTTCCGGGACTTGTTTTGTTCAAAAGAAGAAAACTAGTGTCATGCTCAGAAAAGTTGGTCAAAATTTCAGCAAGGAGCCTTGAAATTGGCTATATTCCAAAGGTAGAAAGAGAGTGAAGGAAATAGAGGAAAGGAATACAGAGATAAAATATAAGAAGAAAGAAGAAAGAAGACAGAAGACGGAAGGGAAAGGAGTGGGAGGAAAGAACATCTGGCTTTAATCCCAAAGATTCAAAATCCGGAATCTGTGTCTCAATTTCGACCCATAAGTCTTTGCAACTACTCCTACAAGATTCTCTCCAAGGTCTTAGCCAGCCGATTAAAAAGATTGCTGCCGGTGTTGATCTCCACAACACAAAATGCGTTTGTGGAAGGAAGACAGATACAAGATAATATCGGTATTGCGCATGAGCTTTTCCATTTTCTAAAAAATAGAAAGACAAAATGCAACTTTGAGCTGGGAATTAAACTGGACATGCATAAGGCGTATGATCGTGTGGAGTGGGATTTTTTGATGGCAGTTATGGAGAAGATGGGTTTTAATAGTCGATGGAGGAGTCTGATTATGGGATGCATTTCTACTGTGAATTTTTCCATTCTTCTAAACGGACAGCCAGGTTCTAAATTCACTCCCTCAAGGGGGCTTAGACAGGGGGATCCATTATCCCCTTATCTATTCTTGCTGGTCAGTGAAGTGTTATCACTCCTTATTCAACGGGAGAGTGATAGGGGGCGGATTGAGGGGATCCAAATGGACCGTGTCGGTCCCATGATTTCTCACATTTTCTTTGCGGATGATACTTTGATCTTTCTGAAGGCGGAGGCGAGGAACTGTAGAAATTTAGTCCAGGTTATTGACGAATATTGCTCGGCTTCGGGTCAACAGGTAAATAAATCCAAATCCAGTGTGTTCTTCGGGGGGAATGTGCCGGAACATTTATCTCTCCATCTGGCAACCATTCTTGGGATGGAGAAAGTAGGGGACCCGGGAGCTTACCTGGGAGTGCCGGCCATCTGGGGTAGATCTAAAAGAAGTGGCCTTGCGTATGTAAAAGGAAGGCTTTTAGGAAAAATTCAAGGTTGGAAACGCTCCACTCTCTCGCAAGCGGGGCGGGAAGTTTTAATTAAGGCAGTGGCGCAAGCAGTTCCAGCTTATCCTATGAATCTTTTCAAGTTTCCTAAGACTTTTTGCAATGATCTGGACGCTCTGATATCTAAGTTTTGGTGGGGGCAAAATGAAGGGGAGAACCGGATTCACTGGGTTTCTAAGGAACAATTGGGGAAGTCGAAAGAAGAAGGTGGGCTTGGTTTGAGGTGCTTTACGGAGTTCAACAACGCTCTTCTGGCGAAACAGTGTTGGCGGTTGTTAATGGAACCAAACTCTTTGTGGGCGTCGGTCATTAAAGGCCGATACTTCCCCAACTGTTCTTTCTTCGACGCAAAGAGGGGCGGAAGAGCTTCATGGGCATGGTCAAGCCTCCTGGTTGGTAGAGAAATAATTCGGGAGGGTGCTCACTGGCAGATAATGAATGGAAAGGATGTCAGGGTCTGGGTGGATAGATGGCTGCCATCTATCCCGTCAGGACACCCATCTCCCTTGGGTTCAGTTCCTGTTTCTTTAAATCTTAGGGTGAATTCTTTGTTAAGCACTGATAATGATAGCTGGGAGATTGATTTCCTTAAACCCTTTCTGTTGGAGGAGGAACTCAAGGCGATTTACGAGACACATTCGGGTGATCCGATTTTGAAAGACAGATTAGTGTGGCCTTTTGTGAAGAATGGAATCTATTCTGTAAAATCCGGATATCATTGGGCTTTGACCAGGAATCTACAGCAGCGAACTGGAAACCCTCACCGATCTGCCCTCATCCCAAAACAGGTTTGGAAGTGTGTTTGGAAGCTTGAGGTTCAGCCAAAAATTAGATCCTTCATGTGGAAGACCTTACAAGAGGCAGTGGCCACGAAAGTAAATTTGTTTATTCGTCGATCCTCTTCGTCAAAAATCTGCCCTATTTGTAATAGGTATGACGAATCTTTGGTACATCTTTTTCTCCAATGTTCGTGGGTTGAGGAGGTATGGCTTGGGGGGAGATTAACTAGAGGCTTGCGGAGGGGTGCGGTCACAAATTGGGCTAATTGGTTGGGGGGTATTGTTGATTCAGTAAATGGGCAGATAAGTGTGCGGAACAACATGCTTTCATATGTTGCTACAACTTGTTGGTTTATATGGAAGGCAAGATGCAATTTTCTTTTCAATCAACAACCTATCTTTCCTCGACAGATCATCGCAGCCATCACCCAGTCTGTGGCTGCCTTCAAGGATTATACTCAGGCTCCGGTATGTAGTTTGCCTATTTCTGTCAATGGTTCGGCTATTGATGTCCTGTGGTCTCCTCCTTGTGTGGGTTTTATCAAAATTAATGTGGATGCTAGTTGGTTAAGGAGTGGGGCCTCAGGATTTGTGGGGGTGGTAGCTCGGGACGATGGGGGCAGGTTTATGGCAGCGATCAGGAGGAGGGTCACGGCCTCTTCAGTGGCAGTGGCTGAAGCTTTGGCAGTGCTGCATGGGTGTGAGCTTGGAAGAAGTATGGGATGGAATTTTGTCATTGTGGAATCTGACTCTCAGGAATCCATATCCTGTATTCGAGACTCGGATACGAGGGGCAGTTGGGAAGCTTTCCCAATTTTAGCGCGATGCAAAAGAATGGGGGAGGCTTTTTATGACTGCCGCTGGTCTTGGGTACCAAGACCGGCCAATATGGCTGCGGATCGTCTGGCGTTGCGGCAAAGTAGGGAGGTATGTGATAATATTTGGGTCAACAGACCCCCATCATCCCTTGTTCATGTTCTGTGTAATGATGGTCTCCCTTGTCCCCATTAATTTCTTCCAGGCAGCATGAGGAGTGACATTTTTAGCATTTGGTGCGATGTCGTATTTACCTCTTTGTACTGCTTTTCCTTAGTTGTTGCTGCTTGCTTTTGCCTCGGGGTAGGCTTCTTTGTTTCTTTGGCATCTTTGCCCGGTTGATATTGATTCCAGTTCGCCAAAAAAAAAAAAAAAAAAAAAAAAAAAAAGAAGATTAGAGAAGAGTGGGAGGAAAGAAAGAGATAGAAGAAAAGAAAATAAAAAAGAACAGAGAAGAGAGGGAGGAAAGGGATAACGGAAATCAGCTCATGATTTGATGACCGGGTTTCGAAGTTTCAAGGAATTTCATATTCGTTTGTTAAACAATACTTCATAAAGATAATAATAATGAACTAATGACGACGAAGCGATCGACTCAAATATATTACAAAGACACAAGACAATGATTAGATGGAGTGACTATAAAAAGGTCTAGATGCTATACATTTCAGAGACCTTTCGAATGACACCGTGAAGGTTTTTTCGGTTGAGGATTACATCTCGGTGAACTTCTTGCCGTTTTTATTGGGGATTACGTCTTAGTGAACTTCTTCTTGTCGGGCATCTCGTTTTGAGGAATTGGGTCCTTTATTTTAATAATTTTCAATGAGGAACTTGTTTACCCGTCGGGCATCACCAAATCTTTAGAGATAATAACTCGACTCTAGAACGTACATCCTACTCATGCAGATAAATGCAGACCTCCTCATGTTCCGGGGTGTCATGTTTCCCCTTTGGTTCCGGACAACCCTTGCTCAGCATATCAGACTTGTTCTCGTCGGAACGAATCTTTCCAGCTTCAACATTCTCCTTCATGCACATCTCGAATCAGTTGGTATCTGTTATATCAGTGTATTTGGACTTGGAAGTGAGAACTTTGATTCGCCTTGAATCTCGACTCTGCCTGATCAAATGTAACTCAGATAGTGTTTAAAATAACCTCCAACTTCAAATGATGGTAAAAGGCTCGGAACTCATTATTCTTTGACACTCTGGTCCAGTATATTCACCTCTCCCAGACCCTGCGTAAAGCGGGAGCCTTGTGCACTGGGTACGACATTTTTACTCTGGTCCAGTATATCTGGCGCACCTTTCCTTCAGAATGGGACATCCGTAAATCAATAACAAATCTAATTTGGTGAGGTGTTACATAGCTTGGGGGGAAGCCGGAGAATTGAGATTCTTGCAACTCCCGATCTTCAGTTCGGTCAGAGATGTAAGGTCATCCAGCCACTCTGGAGAGTCTCTAGCCCTTCACAATAAGATATAGCCACCTCTGTTACAGGACTGGTCGAGTGACGAAATAGTGGAGGCAGAGACTTGAGCTTAGGCCACCCGTAGAATTCTAAGACGTTTCATGATGGAATTTGAGAAACCGGGTAAGAATCCAGCTCCTCCCAGAACCAACAAATACACAATTTCTTCAAACGAGTTAATAGTGTGTAAACCTGTCGGCAAGTATTGTAATTTCTCACAAAACAGTATTCTTAACTCGACAAGAGATGTGCAGGATGAGAGCCCACTCAGCAGACTTGTCAGTCCATGACATTCTTCACTGGTCACAACACGGAGGGATGTGAGGTTGTCTAAACTCGGAATTGCCTCAAAATTATGGCACCAGGATGTCCTCAAAACTTCAGATAGAGGAGGGTTTGGAGCGATAGATGCCTCAAAGTTTTACAGTCGTGCATTATCAGTTGGCAAAGGGATGTGCAATCGTGTAAAGAAATGTCCTCAAGAGTGCTGATGGCGTAGATGTCATTTCCGGTCCACAGCTTGTAATAACCAATTTCCAGAGGGCGGTCTGACTCTTCCCATGGTTTGCAACTGAACTCTTCCATAGCTTGGGGCAATTCGTTATACTCAACTCCTCAGGAGATGCATGACCGCCTTGCAGGCTTGATAATTCAGCACAATCTTCGATTACAAATTGGCAAAGGGATGGTGGGAATGCGTCTGAAATTGGAATCGATACTAAGCTGCGGCTACCAGTTACTTTCAATCCCTCAAGTGCGTTGCAATGTTTCAAGCTTGAAAGCTTCTCACAACCCTCAATCACCAATTCTCAGAGACATGGTGTGATTGGAATGGATGGTAGGTTGGGGCTACCACTTATTTTAAACCCTCTCAAGTGAGTTGCACTGTATCGACCCACTCGGCAAACTTGAAAGCTTCTCACAAGCCTGAATCACTAATTCTCAGAGACATGGTGTATTGAATATTACTCCAAAAATAATCACAGTAATTTCTCTGTAAATACAAATATGTTATAACTCCTATCCTCTATTTCTGGGAATGTAGTCTGACTAGGTAGAGTAGCGGCGTCTCAGGTAAAGGAATAATGCCGTTGATGCAGCTACAGCGTAAGGGAAGATGGTCCAAATGCCCTGGAAAGTTTTCAAGTTAGATTCATGAAATTACAAAAAAAAAGTGATAATTTCATTCATAGATTTAGAGTTCCTGCATACAATTGCTGTTGCAACAGTAGCGAGGGCAAAGACGGGGCGCTCCCTCAGGAAGAATCCTATTAACAACTGAGATCAGAAAGCAAAAGAGAGTAAGTTAGGCTAGTACTCGAACGAAGGTTGGATATCAATTTCTACACTTGTTTTTTCCAGCATCGAAAATATTACTCTTCAAAAGCCAAGAAAATCTGAAACTTCTAAAAAAAATTCACTCCTTTTGACAAGCATTGCAACGAGTGACGAATTGCGCTCAAACTGGCTGCATATCAATATAAGTTCTCTAGTTTTTCTTTGATCTTTTAAAAACAACAAGATTTTAATCATAGATCTACCAATTCCTTGCCCCAGCCCACCAAAGTGCAACTTTAGCTAGAGCGTGTCCCTGAGATGTGTCTTCTAGTTGTACCTAGTTAAGTATAGATTTAAGTGTTTTTAACAGAACTAAACTGACCTGGAGGGGAAGGGTGATCAAACCGCCACAACAAACTCCAGCAAAGAAACACTCTGAAGAAATGCCCTGCACTCGGGTAAAAGCGTGTCATTCCCAAGTCAATCGAAGCAAATACCAACAAAATGTACGATCAATTATATCAGACTAACCAAGGTCCCCGCTAGAAAAGCCGTTGGATTTCTCACTCCAAGCGAAAATCGTTCAACTGAAAGCCAAAATGCACTGAAACGTCACTATCTAATACCAGAATTCAAGCATAATGGATTGTTATAATCTTCTGATACAACACTACCTCAAAATTTTTACATATATTGGCCTATGGGAGTACGTCAACTCATGACTAAAACTTTGAATCATTCATAACTTTGCACATTCAAAACATAATAAAAAGGATATAAAACAAATAAGCTTTAGAGCTTACCGAAACCGATGAGGTTGCCATATTTTTGCACTGCAGAGGTTATGCTTAAAGCTTTCTCTTTTCCAATCCCTAACTGCATCCAGCATCAGGTTAAACTTCATTAAAACACAAAATTGGTGCTTACCACTTGCAGAAAATAGGTATGTGCATCATGGGAATGAGCACTGCAGATGTATAAGAACTCTGAAGCAAGAAGGTAGGAGTAAGATTAACCTTCGAGAAAACGTCATCAGAGGCCCTGGATTTTCTAAAAAGCTTCCCGAGATAAAATGGTATTAGATCACTGATGCACACTCCCCTGAAATATGAAAACATCAAAGTAATATTCCCATCGTCAATATTATAAGGCGTATAGACAGACAATGCTAGAAACTAAAATGGTGTGACCATATTACCAATACACCCAAAGAATTGTGGATATGATATATGGAGCATTTCTCGAAAAAGATTCAGCAAACATCTGCCATGTCCCGTCCAAAGACAGCATCCGAGCCAAAGATATGCCAACCTAAATTGTTTTCAAAAAGATTACTCACAACTTCAAACCGGCTTTGAAACCATGGATATAGAAACAGTGATAAATTCAAAGTTAAATATTTAAGCTTGTGAAATAGAATACCAGAAAAGAGGACAGACCCAAATATTTAGAGCTTCTTCACTAATGCAAAGTCCACAGCCTGCAGCCATAAGCAACCAAAAGTAGATCCACCTACAACCATGTATAGTCATGACTCATGCCCAATTCAGAAATAAATAAAGAAACCAACTACCCCATGAGGTGAAGCAAACTTCATTATGGAGTCCTATGCTATAACATCTAAAATAATCTCTTTCTATTTTGCTACAATGATCACGAATCACCACTTGTACTATGAAAAATCAGCAGTAACAAAGTACTATTCTATTTGTCTCAGCTGCTTTTAAAGGTAAAGAGAGTTTCCATTTGTACTATGAAAAATCAGCAGTAACAAAGTACCATGAAAAATCACCACTTGTACTAGAAATAACACAGCAATGTCTTTCAATTAACTGTAACCAAAAAAGAGTAAAGAGAGTTTCCATCAGGCATGTTTAAGAAAAAAAATGTTAAGAATATTACCCCGGTGCAAATGCTGGGAGAACAATGCTGTACCCAAAAGCTTTGATGGTGAAACTGACATTGGCTGAAGCCATTACTGAAGAGGATGAACTATCTGGAAAAATTTGAATTCCATTCGATGACCCAATAGCGGGTGCACCCTTGATGCCAACCGATATCAGAGTCACCGTTGCGGCAACGCCTAGTGCAATTGCTATTTTAGCAAGAAATGAATTTTCTGTACTAATTTCAGTATTCACAACATTTCCAAGCAGCTCATCCGAAATCCCATCTTCCCCATCCAGAATGTCTTTAGATATTTCAACCTCATTATTTCCTGCATCCTCCTCATAAAAGCTTCTGATCCTGCTAGTACAAAAATTAAATCAACAATGAAAAAACCGACTAAATACCGAAAAACCAGTCAACTAATACCATCAAATTTGATTATCTAGAACGTCAAGGATCAATTTCTGAGCTGGTAAGGATAGAAGCACTCGTGACAAAGAAAAAGCCTCAACCTTGCAGCTCCTACTTCAAATATTAGCTTATTCACGAGTTGGGTTTTCAGTTCCGACACCCTTTAACCATGTTTTCACATCTTTCAAAGTTTCCCTCTTTTTCCCTCAGATTTTCTCCGCAACCAAACACCAATACAACAACAAAAATTACCCAATAAAGTTTAACTTACCTGAAAGTCTTGGGAGTGAAGAGTTCGGAAACCTGCACGCATTCGTTCCCGTCCGTCAGCAATCTGCGTCTGACAATGATAGAGCTCGAATACCCAACAAGTTTCCGATTTGACGATTTGGGTGTCCGTGTGGGTGGGGGTAGATAAAACCCATGAGCCAAAACCGCCATTGGAGACGTCTGCCTTCTCCTCCTCCCTGTGTTTGTGGAGGCAATCAGCTAAGTGGCATTTGGAAGAAGGACTGGCGGCTCTTGTTCCATTTGCTTGGATGTGAGTGGTCAGTGGGGAACTAGAGTCTTCAGAGGTATACCGTATATGCTTGCTAAGAGGGGCTGAGATCCTCAGTGAGCCATGGTAAAAGACGAACTTGCTTGCGTTTAACAAAATTGGATCTTTTGGTCGTGGGCTAGGCTTTAGGCAAAGTAAAATTATCTTCTCAAGTTTGACCTACATCTTCTAAATTGAACCGTTGAATGACTTGATTTTGAAACTTGTGCAAAAGTAGTTTGAGTAAAACGTGAAATGCTAAGAAAATTCTTTCAAAAATAAATTTTTTTATTAATTTTTTATTATTTTATATTTTTAACATAATTCTTGTGTCAATATTATAAAATATTGTATTAAAAAAATAATAAAACAGATAATTTATAGAGAGTTTTACTTCGCATAAATTGCTAGCTCGATACTAATTTATTCTCCTATTTCTTATTCCTTAACGTAATATATGTTGTTTCAAAAAAAAAAAAAAAGTAAATAGATTAAATAACACTTGTCCAACTGCATAAGAGCATCTCTCATAGAGATTATAAATGGAGTCCCTACAACCATATAGTCTCTAAATATAGGGACAAATGACTTTCAATGGCCCAGAATTGAAGTCTTCAAAATATCTCAATACAGAGAGACTCGCCGGATACCTCAACAAAATTCTCAAATATAAGGACTACGGATAAGAACTCAAATAGTGGACTCCTTATTAATTTTGAGTGGGAATGGTGTACTCTTTATGTTTTTTTTTCCTTGTTTTTTGAACCCACCCAAGTGAGTGAGGCAATTTCTCATATGCCTTTTTTTTTAATTCTTGAAAAATCAATGGTAGAGATAGTTTTTTATTTTTATCAATGGTTACAATACTTCAATGAAATGAATAATAATTTTTTAAATATTTTAGTCCCTACATTTAAGGATTATACTATAAGGAATTTCCATTGTAAACAATATTCTTTTAGGGACTCGAATATTCTTCTAAAGCTTCTAAATGAGTCCTTAAAAGTGGTGGCGAGAGTTTCTAAATAGGAACTTTTATTGAAGATGCTCTAATAATGTGATGGTAATAGTCATTAACACTTATAGTAGAGAGCAAAAATACACTCAACAACCAGCCACCTTAGTTTGATCCACAAGAAACACTTACAATTGGGCACTTTTGACCAAAAAAAAAAAGAAAAAGCAGATCTGGGCCATTGAAAAAAGTCGGGAAAAACGTAGGCCCAAGCCTACCTGACGAAACAGTCAACCAATTTGTGCCCGGCCCATCCCCCGAGTGTGATTTGAAGTAAGGGCTGACATCCATGTGAAGTCAGCCATGTGCAAAACTTTTCTGCGTCAGGCGCGTGCAATACACATGATGGGTTTCCTACGGTCATATAATCTAACGGTGTTTATTAATTCAACCATTTTTGGGTTCGAAAAATTTTAAATATTCAAAGTGATTGTTGTGCCCACACGGCACAATCTGGTATGCTGAATTTAAATAATCAAACGATTCATATTAATTTGGTTATAAATTTTTTTTAAATTAACTTATACATATTAAAATTAATTTGGTTAGAAAATAATGTTAAAAATAAAAATACAAAAAAAAGGGAAAAATAAATAAATATGTCCTATAAATATTCAACCATACTATTGTAGAAAAATTGTAAATTCGGATAGGGGTGTGATATTCACACACACCATTTTAATTCTCACACACCTTTTTTATTTTCGGTCGTCGGATCAGATGAATTGAAGAAGATCAACGAACATAAATTATCAAGAGGTGTGTGAGAAGTAAAATGATGTGTGTGGATAGCACACCCCATTCGGATAATGACACATGACGTGACAAAATTGGTAATGCCAGTTGCTCATAAAATTTAGTTACAAAGTAAAATGCAATCGGATAGTTACTATTCACTAAGGCAATAATTGCCTATTGTCCTATAGGTGGAAGTGCTCTAGAAGAGTCAACTCTAAAACATTTGTCTTGATTCAAAACCCAAATTACGAGGCATGTTCGTGGCACCAAGGTTTTGCCTTCTTTCCTATTTGGTGTACACTGACTTGTTCAAGAGTATGAATAACGATAGGTGATATTTTATTTTTAAAATAAACAATATTATCTACGCTAAGAGGGAATGGTGGGCTTAGCCTCACAATGACCTAATAATAATGTGATTCAAATTCGTATTTACAAAGAATCGAACCTAAGACTTCTTACTTACAAATGAAAAGAAATATCACTAGACCCTAATAATTATCATGTTCCAACCATATCATAATGACTTTAATTATTAGGCGGATCATTCATTCATGTTCTTGTGAAACTATATGGTTGGTTTGGTTGGCTCACACTTCGTTCATGATTTAACAAAAAAAAGCACACCCTTGCATTTTCTCATTTTATTTTAAGTCTTTGATTGTTCAATTTTCCTTAAAAGTAGGGTTAGATACTGGCTTTCCCTCTAAAAGTTAAATGAATCATTATGGTTTTTTTGCATCGCACTTTATTTTTACCGTCAAATTAATTAAGAATTCCTTTAAAATGTAGTACTACAACATTAATAATGTAATATTACAACATTAATGATGTAATAATATGATTATGTGAAAGCACGAACAATGTAATAATTCATTCATTAAAAAAAAACAATGTGATAATTCATAAAATTAGATATATGTATTATAATTATAGATTGACAAAACCAAGTGACACTGTAGTAATCACATCAATAAATTATTCGTATGTATAGCTCAACATGCTTGCAAGCCCATAAACGACACTAAAAGGGATGTCGTAGTACCCTTGACCTTGAGGGGAATTTGGCGCGCAGCACATAACAATACAATACAGTTGCCAAAACATGTGCGAAATTTGGCGAATACCAGAAAGTAGCTGGCTTTATTATACGAAACAACAACTTAACAGATGACACCGTAATTGCCGACAGCAGCCAGCTACGAGCTATTTCCTCGCTTTCTTCCCCAACTGAAAAAGCCGTCTCTTTCCAAAACTCTGCGAACGAAGCTGCTCCTCCGACCTCGCGGCTCAAAAGTCCAAACCCATCACGATCTCCCCAAATCCTTGCTGGGGTTTCCCCTTCAGCTCTCCAAGTTACCAATTTCCTGTAAAAGTTGAGATTTTTACTTATTTATTTTTTCAGCTCTTTTTATATATTTTTATGTTCACCTTCCTTATTTGCTAAGCTTTTTCGTGCTTCATTGACCTGTACCTAGTTGGTGTGTATGCCATGATTATTAGCGCATAAATATTGGATTATTATTTTTTTTCCTTCAAGGGTGTTTATAATCATGATGCACTATTTTCAATTAGAAGCTTAGTTTTAGCTTTTTCTCTTTTGATATTTTAATGTGTCTCCAACTGAGTTGGTTTTGGTTTGGTGAATTCTTTGCGCCCATTTCAGCAAAATATTCTTAGTTTATTTGGTATGATTCTTCAGTTGCTTCCCACAATTCAGTGAAATCCCAGAATTTTGATTACTTTGAAAAGGGATGGCTTTTGCTTGCCGGGAAGTTCAGCCATGGACCTTTACTGTTCTTTTGGGAGCTTTTATCGACCTGGGTTTGGCTTATATCCTGCTATGCGTGTCTGCTTTCGTGTTTTTCGCTTCCAAGTTGTTGGGGATTTTCTGGGTTTGTTTTCCATGTCCATGTAATGGGGTTTTCGGGTATAGAAACCCTGATCTTTGCTTGCATAAGTTGTTGCTTATTGATGGGCCTGTTGGGACGATCCGTGCTGTCCATAAGTTGGTGAATAGCAAGTTCCCGTTTGATGTTCTTTGGTCTAGGGATCAAAGGTGCAACTTGAATACGAAACTGATCAGAGATGTAAATTGTGAGAATAGAGTTCGTGAGTTGCAAGGTGAAGCAGATTCTAGTCCATTTTCGAGTCCCAGATTGCAAAACCTGGTTGATAGGGAAAGTGGGTACGACGCTAAGGGGAAGAGGGTTATGGTTCTGAAGAAAAGGACTGGAATTCGGTGCTCTAAGAGGGCGGCTCCTGAATATGGAAGGCTTCCTTCTTACTATCCAAGTGATAGTTCAAAGTTGGTTGCTCACATATTCCCCTTTCCTTGCGATGACAGAGATACAAGAGAGATGTCAGGTGAAAGCTCAATTGCCATAGCTGGTAGAGAAGGTGAGGAATATCTAAACTTGGTTGGTTGTTTTCAATACTTGATTTCATATTTTTCTATATTAGAGGAACCTTTTTTCTTTAATGTGTGGATTTATATATATAGTAGAATGTAGTGTCAATCAAATTTATTGCAATTTTTCGAAAATCTTTTAAACTAGAATTGCTTATGAACTTGTATTTTTACTGTATTGGTAATGATTTGCTCAGTTTTGCGGATTTTCTTTCGTTTTAGATTATGTGAAAGCACCAACTGGAAATGATATGGCTGAGAGTATATGCCAAAGTTCTGAATTGAGTGGATCATTTGGTGAGAGTAAAGACGTGGACATTAGTTATACGCAAGAAAAGTCTCACGTTGTTGGAAAGGAAACTGATAAACTCAGGGTGTTGCAAGAAGCACTGGAAAAAGAGAAAGCTGCTTGTGCTGCTCTTTATCTAGAGCTAGAGAAAGAGCGAGCTGCTGCTGCAAGTGCTGCTGATGAAGCAATGTCCATGATAGCACGTCTGCAAAAGGATAAAGCATCAATAGAAATGGAAGTGACGCAGTATCAGAGGATGATGGAAGAAAAATTTGTTTATGATGAAGAGGAGATGGGTGTTCTGAAAGAGATTCTTCTTAGGAGGGAGATGGAGAACCATTTTTTGGAGAGGGAAGTTGAATCGTATAGGCAAATGAGCTTCTTAGGAAATGAATGGTCTGATGCTGATTTGAGTGCTATGTTGTGTGAATCGGGAAAAAGGCCTTCACCTTCTGTTAAGTCAAATACAGATGCACTACTGACGCTGCAGCAGACTGCTGATGGTAAATCTAACTGTATGGAATTCGGAAATATTGCAAATAGTACTTCTCAATATGACGCTTCATTTGTTGAAAAACAAATTCATCCTAATGAACAGGATTCACTTGAGAAATGTGTACTTTCAGAAAGGGAAGAAAAAGTACACACGGATAATGTAATGTGCCAAGAAATAACTCCTGAAGCAGCCCAAGCTCATATTGGTACTGAGGAAAACTTACAATGTGATGGAGTGCGATGGCATGATGGGGATCTTCAGAGAAATTTGCATGGTTCAATGCTTGATATTGAGCCAGCTTTTTATGATGTTCATGTCGTTGATGGTAAAACTGAACTTTGGAAAGAAGAAAGTAGATCATCATTTTATACTGCATTGGATGGATCCCAAGATTTTGCTTCTACATTTGGAGCTACCGGGGTCAGGAGCAGTGAGTTATTACAAGGTTTTCCAAGTACAAGCCAGGTGGATACTGAACCTAAATTCATTGCAAGTTCTTTGGATATGCATTGTGGGTTACCGATGATGGATAACTCCTGATGCAAAACCTTGGTGATAGACTCAATGAAGAACTCATTGTCCACAGTAAATAATGAAAGGTTGAAGATTGACACTGAGGATGATTTGCTAATGGAAAAGCTACAGATTCTAGAAGAGAGAAAAGAGAAGCTGACTTCATCTTCTGAACATGGGGAGAGGCAAGAAACCCCATCATGTTTGGAGGAGATCGGGAACCCGCTTTGCAAGATCCAGCAGATAAGAAATCCTTTGCGCCATTGTCTTCTAAGGTGAATCATAGTGTTTCCTAATTGCCTTTTTACATTGTTATAACTTCTTATTGCATGTTTTTGTCAGAATCATCCATGTCTTGTGCTGCTAGGATCATTGTTTGTACTGTAACTTTGATTTCGTCATCAAGGAAGCAACATGGTTTGCTTCTATTCTACCCTTATTAACATATATAAAGACAGAAACGCCACCTATCAAAAATAAAATGCAACGATGCAGTGGAGTCATTAGACTTGAGACAAAACCAATGAATGCTATCACTTTAGTTATAAACACAGTAACACACACAAGAGCACATGAGAACTCATACACAGAACCATGACAGAAGGGAAATACAGAAAGGTCCATGTTATGGGCACATAATCATATAATGCTTTCATTTCCATTGCTGTGTTCTCCGAATAACAAGTGCTGATTGTATTGTTCTCATTTTCAGGTGAGTTTGAATACAAGACGCTGCCAAAGTACGCCCTCGGAGGCACTCGAATGTACAAGTTCCTAAAGCATGTACAATTGTACAGTAATTCCCGGACTAGTGGTTTATCGGAATCTTGTTGCTTCAAGTCCTTTTATTCTGATCTATGGTTGGAAGGAATCTGTAAACCAATTTGTATATTCCCACTACAAAAGCTCTGTAGTTAGATTGTAGCTGCCAATTGCCTACTCTTGATAACTTTTGTGCCGTGTGTATTAAATTTTGAATTTGGACAAAAAAAAAAAAGGAAAAAAAAAAGTGAGGGTTCACCAGTCACAACCATGTTCCTCAACTGATCTGTCCCACCTTGTTTTTCCTTCTGTAAATGATATGAAAAGGAAAATGCCCCCCAAATCATAGCCACCATAACTTATGGGCCTGAGGGTTGCAGATGGATGTACTGATTGTCCCTTTAGAGCAAGTCCACCCCTAAGGACTTTGCGCCAGCACCCAGCGCATTTATCCACTCAAGTGAACAGTGATAGACTGGAGTGAACAGTAATAGGCCAAAGCATATTCATCCCTAAAAAAATGCGCTGGCACCTAGCGCATTTATTTGGTGTGTTTTTTTTTTTTTTAGTTTATTTCGGATAAGATTTTTAACCAATTTCGGATAAAATTTCAAATACACACTAAAATAAAAGGAAAACTAAAGAAAACGGCTTGAAAACTTTGAGTTTTAATGATAAGGACAAAATAAAGGGTAAAGTGAATAGTACCAGGATTGACTTTTTAGTGTAAAAATGTGGTTTTTCGTTAAAGTGAACAGTACCATGTGCTTTTCGTTAAAGTTCCCTAAAATAAAATTACATACTCATCAAATAAACTTAAAAAAAAAAACACACTAAAATAAAATTACATAAACTCATCAAATAAACTATAAAAAAAAACACACTAAAATGAAATTACATAAACTCATCAAATACTCTTGATTCTTCAACCACAAGCTTTTTGGTATTTTTTTTTTCACACAAAAAGTATATGAAAGCTTTGGTAGAATATTGTAGAAAATATTGAAATGTGGTGTAAGGTGGAAGATGAGGGTTAGGTATTTATAGAAATTTTTTTTTAATTTTTTGTATTTTTTAATAATTTTTCTGTATTTTTTAATAAATTTTAATTTAGTTAATTAATGTGGACCGTTGACTATGATCGAACGGTCCATTTTAAAAGTCAAATTTAAATTTTTTTTACCTTTGGAAATCCAACGGTCTAGAAAAACTAGCCGTTGGAAATCCAACGGCTATGAGCACGCTGCGTCACTCCGGAGCACAAGTGGGCTGACAGCCCTCTGCAAGCTTGTCGGCTACTCGCCCTGGGCGCGAGTGTCGTGCACGCGCCAGCCAAATAGGCCAGCTCTGGGTATGTCAAAATTGGGCTGGTCCGTTGCCTAGCATGGGCTGGGTGCCAGGCAACTTTGTGGGCTGGAGCAAATTGACTGAGGGCCAGTCTGTTTTTTGTGCTGGGTCCTGGGCAAAGCAAGCCCAGGTGGACTTGCTCTTAGCTTCTCACGTTCTTCTCACTTTTCTCATTGCATTTTCATCATCTTAATAAGAAAGATTTCGCTACAGTTTCCGACTAACGTTAAATCTTTCTTTATTCGGAGAATATTTTCGGAGGCCTGTTACTCAAGTGGTAAAGAATGATTATTCCACGATCTTGGTCAGAGTTCGATTCTCGTCTTTCTCGAATTATTGAAATGAAATTTGTGAAGAGGGAATCTCTGATAGTTGGACCCGTGACAAATGGAAGTATTTCTAAAGAAACTAATGTAAACAAAGCTTGACAATCCAAAAGGACAACTCTTCCAGGTAGGTGAGGGATCAAGTGAAGATTAAGTCTCATGTTTTGCCACCCTTGATTCCTTGACTTGACTCAAACTAGGTTAATAAAAAACAGACAGAATCTTCGGAGTAATGATCCTGTCAAAGAACATGTTTGTTTAACAGGCAACTTGGGTTTGAATGAGAGAATATTTTTCAAAACAAAATATTGAGAGAAGGGGAAACCAAACACATCGTGGGTGCGGCGACAAAACTCTTAGCCGCTTGAAGTACATGTCCATGGTGATTTCGAGATATTAGAGATAATTGGAGTTGTAGTCTATGAACTTTCGTCTGAAGTTTGGTCCATAAACTAAAAATATGTGAGTATTGACAATCTTTCTTCAATATTTCGGACTACTCAGTAGTACGGAAAATAAACAATCAGGTTTGAATTGAGGAAATAATATTTTTACTTATTTGCTAATTTAATGGATATAAAGTGATTACCGAGTAATTCAAACTATTAAAGACTTACCTGAGTATTGGCCCATGAACTTGTTGCCATATGGAGCAACGATCTTTTTGGGTAACTCTGTTAAAACATTCATCCCTTTTTCAGCTCTCTAAACCCCTTATTTTGAATGAAATTTCTAACCGTGTTAAAGTTAATCTAAAAGACTATTACTCAACATTGTGACAAATTCAGATACCAAAACTTTAATAGGGTCAAATTCAGGAACCATTGTTTCAATTTTTTCTTAACAAAGAGAGAGATGATAAATAAGAAATATGACAAATATCATGACTTTATTTGGTATCTAAACAAAAGGTATATATATTAAAATTTTGGCACCCTTTCATGTCACATGCATGAAAGCGGTCTCCTTTGGTTTGGGAATGGATTTTCTTCAGATCTTTTCCACTAAGTTCATCAAGTCCATAAATTCAGACCATTGAAATTTGATCAAACGATTACAAACATGAATTCACTTTAAAAATTGTAATAATTTTACCGTTGAATTAAATTTTTAGGATCTGAATTTATGGACTTGATGAACTTTGTGGAAGAGATCTGTAGATGATCTATTTCCCTTTGTTTCTACCCATGAAACTTGTGTGGCCGTGTACTCCTTGTCTCCATGTGCCACGTGACATCAACCCTATTAGGTCTTGCGGTTAGGTACTATTTGTTAGGATATACTAATCAGCTGGTTGATGTTAAACGTGTAAAAAGGGCGTTTCTAGATGTTCAAAAGTGGAAAGAAAAACTAATGATTCTTTCTTTCTTAACTTAGACAAAATAAAAAGGTTAACTTTTTTCTTCAAAAGATGCAATCTTAATTTTCATTAAATGTTGTGGATTATAAAATCATGAGTGAAAAAATGATATTTCCGCAAATCATCAATCATCAAGTACATGTATCACAACCATTCTAATCTATAATTTGTGTTCATTTTTATTTACTTTGTTGTCACCTAATGGTCACATGACAAATGCGATAGTCCTTCTTCAATGCATTTTCATTATTGCACAGTATTACGATGTGTGATCGTATAAACTCCCTTAACCTACACCAAAGTTGACGCCAATTTGAGTGTAAGCTAATGGAATTAACGGTGTCAAACACCATAATCTCATGAACTGATGCAAATGTCATTGAAAAAGAACCCTCGTGCTTGTCACGTGATTACAAAAAGATGGATGAAATTGCACAAAGATGTAAAATAATCGTTAAATCCAAGCTCGGATAAAGGAGGAAGAGGAAGACGTCAGTTAGTCAACAGCCGACACTTATTTTTACGTCAAATCTCTATAATAAAATTAAAACAACGTAAAGATTCAAATAGCATTTATGCAAATTCTCCAATAAAATAGAATAGAATTTTCATACGAGGAACTTTCTTACACAAATGACTCAACAAAAAGTTAAGATTTGAAAGGGAGGTGTGCGTTGTAGTAGGTACACGAGGGCCGACCTTTGCTTTGTTTCCCCTCCCGGTCCAAAGCGTTTCGAATCAGCATCCAATTTTGAGAGATTGAGAGCACCGTCACATCACCGACGGCCCTCCACGTGTCACCTACCGTGTGGACGATGACGTGGCACCCACACAAATATTACGCACCGAAACTCCGTCTCCTCATGCGTAGCGTAAACTCTACAGCACCTAATCACCAATCAACCCCTCCTCCGTCTCCCGTTAACAAACGGCGCCAACCAACAATAAACTAAAGAATAAATAAAATAAAGGTCAAAACATGTTTTTTGTTCTCGTAGTTCGACCCTACCAAAAATAAAATGTTCTACTTCGGCCCTTAAATTTTGATTGTCACGATTTGACCATTGTAGTTTATTAATTATAGAAATTTAAAAAATATAGCTCAATTGCATACTTGGATGTAATTATATTTGTTAAACTAAAAGCGCTCATCATATATGCTTAAGTTCGAACACTCTTTATACCGTTTATTATTAGGTTAAATTCAAAAAAATCACTAGCAATAAGAAAACAATTTTTGGCATAATTAGCTCACAAATTGATATGAAAAGTTTAGATACAATACGAAACGACACGAGAAATATAGACTTCGATTTAGCCCGTAATGAGTCTTATTAATAAATAGATAGACATGTTAACTAACATATTTTGTACGTGTCGAACACGACTCTAAGCACAAAAAAAAACTTGTTTGTTAAGTCTACTTATGAATGATAGTTGGAAATTTCAAATTCTTTTAGGTGTAAAGTTACTAAGCATACCTTGGAAAATTGCATAATTAAACTATCCTTATTGCAACAACCTACAAAGTTTAAAATTTTGAGTCGAGACTAATGTAATGAGGTTAAGTTCAACTCTTTTTTTTTAGGGTAGATAATAGATAATACCCTTTGTTAATAAAATAAAAAATAAAATAAAAAAGACGACGGAGCTAAAGCGGCCGTTGTACGCTACGTCTTGTTCTAACGCTTTTGAAAACGACATGCCTCTCTCTCTTCCTCTCCGATTCGGCTACGTTCCTTCTGTCGTCTCTCTCTCTCTCTCTCTCTCTCTCTCCCTCTCTCCTCCCTCTGCCTCTTCGTCTTCAGAATCACAGTTCGCTGCTTAGAGAGAGAAACAATTAAGAAAAAAATGTCATCTTAATCCGAAAGCAACCTCCATTTCGCTTTCTCTTCCTCTCTCTCTCATCACCTGTTATTTCTCAGAGAGAGAGAAAGAGAAGCAGCATCAACAATTCAATTCTTTCCGAAATTCTCCGCCACGCCCGCGCTCGATTCCGGCGAATGTGCTTCGCCGGCAATTTGCAGTTGCGCTTGCGATTCAATCACCTGATCAGCTTATGGTACGAATGCAATTTTTTTTTTATAAAGTTTTTTGTGGCTTTGAATTTTCGCTTCTGGATGCTGTTTTCGGATCCGTTTCCCGGTTTTATCGGAGATTGTGATAGAATCTTGGTAGATTTCGTCGTTTTCTTGAGCTATTGAGTATTTTCTAAGAAATTTAGGTTTTTATTCGTAAATTTGATGATTTATTTATTTGATTTTCTCTGTTTTTGCTGTTCTTAATCTTATTCGATGCAGATGTAATCTGAGCTCGAGCTGTAATCCGATTCGATTAGCAACAATGCCAGGTACATTAATCCGATTCCTCAGTAAAATTCTATACAACAATCGGATCTTAATATTTATGTTTGATCCAAAATTTTCATTTTTCTGCATTTCGATATGTAACTTTAGGAGAGTAATTTCGTTGCAAGAAGACGAAAAGACTAGAACTTTTGATTTCGAAACCTCCGAGGACGAGAGGCGGAGACCTCGGAGCAGATCTCTTAAGAAAAGGACGACAAATGCTTCCTTGAGATTAACAAACACTCCTAGAAAGCGTGGCACGCGTGTGGCCAATTGTCGCTACGCATCGATTTCAATTGAAAATGCTCGGGATGCTGAGGAGGAAGAAGCTGTGATTACGTTTCGCGATGCATTGGTTGCTAAAGATATGCTCCCGGCTCAATTCGATGATTATCATACAATGCTGAGGTGATTGACTCACTGCAATGATAGTGTATATTTTTTATTGTCCTTTTAGCTTTTTGGATTTGGTTACTAATAGCTAAGCCGTGTTTATGCAGATTTTTGAAGGCGAGGAAGTTTGACATTGATAAATCTTTTCAAATGTGGGCAGAAATGCTCAACTGGAGGAGAGAGTATGGAGTAGAATCTATTGTGAAGGTATAATGCTATTAAGAGTATTTCGAAGGACGACTGATACATATATTTTTATATCTCATTTCTTTTGATAAAGAAAGACTCTTTTGTCTGTAATATGTAAAGATTACAGAATATCAAACACGAGGAACTTTTTAATGCCTGTTTTAGCGGAGATTTCATTTCATTCTCTAAGTTCTAATAGAGGTGTTACAATGATAAATTTGTAGGATTTTGTGTACAGTGAATATGAAGAGGTTCAGCGTTTCTATCCTCATGGTTATCATGGTGTAGACAAGGCAGGGCGACCTCTTTATATTGAAAGACTTGGAAAAGTTGAACCTAGCAAGCTAATGAATGTCACCACAGTGGAACGGTTTCTAAAATATCATGTCCAGGGTTTTGAGAAGGCTTTTGCTGAGAAATTCCCAGCATGTTCTATTGCGGCCAAAAAGCATATAGATTCTACAACCACTATTCTAGATGTCCAGGGGATGGTAACTTATTAAGTCTCAATTTCATTTGTTCAGTTCTATGTATCATACGTATTTTTTGCAATAACTATACTTTTTCCTAATTTACTATCATTATTATTATTATGCAGAACTGGATGAGTTTTGGCAAGGTTGCACATGACCTTGTTATGCGCATGCAGAAAATGGACGGTGATAACTATCCTGAGGTGGATTTAATATTATCTGAAACCAACTGATAACATTTTATGAAATCGTTTTTATTGATTTCTGATACTAGCTTGTTCTCCACAGACATTACATCAAATGTTTGTGGTAAATGCTGGTAATGGGTTCAAGCTACTTTGGAACACAGCAAAAGGCTTTCTTGACCCAAGGACTACTGGAAAGATACATGTATGTGGATATTTGTCATTTGATGCTTTCATTTTGAAGGTACTATTGACTACTAATAAGTGCTTCTGCAGGTCTTAGGCAACAGATTTCAAAACAAGCTTTTGGAAATCATAGACTTGAGGTTGGGATTTCTTACTATTTGATAAATTAGTTCGATTTTTTAATGAATATAATGGCTGTCGGAACTTTTGGTTCGTGTTTCGAAACTTATTTCAGCAACTTTCTCTTTAAACAGCCAACTTCCGGATTTCCTTGGGGGAACTTGTTCGTGTCCAAATGAAGGCGGGTGCCTTAGGTCTGGAAAGGGACCCTGGAATGATCCAGAAATAATGAAAGTATGATTCTAGTGGGTTAACAGTAGTTTGGGTTAATAGGCTGAATATTGGGGGTTTTCTTGCCAGTTTCCCTACTCATTTGACTTCTGTTTGCAGCTGGTACACGTTGGAGAAACAATGCACCTGAGGAAAATCAAAGGTTCTGATGGTGACGATGTCGGAATCAAGCTGCTTACCTCTAAGGTGACTTAAGCCAAACCTTCAATGGATACTGTTCTTATTACCTTGTACCCATGTATCATATTTCACATTGCTTGGGTTTACTTTGCAGATTACAGATAGTGAAATAGTATCTGCAGCTGAGTCAAGATCAGAAATGAGGTCAAGTACTTCTGCCTTCTTGCAGCTATCAAAGTCTAACTCTGACGAAGTAAATTTTCTGAAGTTCTCTTTTCTTGGGTGTCATCTCCTTTCACTTAACTACTGAATGCATCTCTAATAGCTACTTTATTATTAGCATCTATATACCTTACTAAAGTTAAAATTTTACTTACGATCGTGGCTAGGTTTATATCCAGTCACATGATAAAATATCAATCAGTTTCTAACTTTTCGTCCTCTATATTTCGTCTGATTTGTCTCAGGAGAGGGCAACTGAGTCTGCTGCATCTCCCTGCAGCCTAGTTGAATCAGGCAGTACTGCAGGAAGAATGGAAGTTGCTAACTCAAGTTTAAAAAGTAGGTGATCATTGGTCAATTATCAAGCTTCGTATATTTACTCGTGATGTAGTGCCTGGCAGTTTTCTTTTCATGCCTCAGACTTGGAAATTTCTAATTCAAGTTTTTGTTCTTGACAGGTGATTCACCCATTGAATCAGGCAGTACTGCAGGAAGAATGGAAGTTGCTAACTCAAGTTTAAAAAGTAGGTGATCATCGGTCAATTATCAAGCTTCGTATATTTACTCGTGATGTAGTGCCTGGCAGTTTTCTTTTCATGCCTCAGACTTGGAAATTTCTAATTCAAGTTTTTGTTCTTGACAGGTGATTCACCCATTAACTTCACCCCAAGAAGGTCGCTGAAGACATCCATTCCACATGTAGCGAGTTTAACCGTTCACCTCATACTCAAAATATTAACAGGCATATATCTCGTATTCCCAATGTTAGGGAGGATATTTGCAGCATGTTATTCAGATAGCTGCTTAAAAACACGATTCAAACCTCTGCCAGTTGAAAATCCAAGTTCTCAGGAACAACAGAATTCACAGGGAATAGATGTAGGCCCCCTCTGGCAGAGGCTGCAGCAGTTAGAAGGATTGGTTACCAATTTGACAAACAAACCTACTAAAATTCCTCAAGAGAAAGAAGACATGCTTCACGAATCTTTAAATCGCATTAAATCTATAGAGTACGACTTACAGAAGACAAAGAAAGTAAGTCAACCTTCTTTCTTGTAACCATGGGTTATTTTGAAGTATGTACCAGTAAGGTTTCTTTCTGTCGTAATAGAGTCGGCTACTAAATCCAAGAGCTTTTCTTTCAGGCATTGTTCGCAACTGCATCAAAGCAAGTGGAGCTTTCTAAGTCGCTGAAAAGTTTAAAAGATGACAGTTTAACCGTAAGTTCCTATCACCTTTAGAAATAAAGTTGAATGTAGTTTATTAACGTGGATTGGATTTTGGAACCTCCTTTTACTTGCATGCGGTTGGATAGGAATTCATACGACTCGTTTATGTCGCTGGCACAACTTGAATATACCGTTAACATCAGGCTTTCTCAATTGCAGGGATCAAACTCATGTTGGCCAAGAAGTTGCCGTTACGACCACGACCCAGGAAGATGAATGCCAGTTTCTTGGGACAAGAGTCTACTGATATTGCTGGCCAACAATGCCTGTTCACTCACAAATGCAAATATTACCACATCCGAGTTCACTGAGCCAATTTTAATGGGCTTGTCATTTAAGGTGACTTGTCTCTCCCGTCCAATATTATTGACTCTCTCACTCTCACGCTTGTCCTTGTGTGCACAAGCACACAAAATCTCGTTCTAATCTCTTTTTTCCGGTGCAGGTTTTTGGTAATTGGCAATTGATAGTAGCTATTGAGAGAATGAAGAGTAAAGAGAATAAGGCTGTTGATCGGGGTCACGGAACTCATCTTTACAGCGAAGAAAAGCGTGTTTATAACCTTCTTGGTGTTTATGTACATAGTATGACCATTTTTCTCTCTTTCTTTCCCCCTTTTCATTGTGATACAGTATAATACTTGACCCTTTTGAATTTTATACCAATAGAGAATTTACAAAAGCAGATTTTACATCTACAATGTCTATTGATTCTGTACATTATTTGCTAACTATCTAGGGGTGGGCGCTTTAGTGAGTTTACCGACCAACACAACTGAGGGTTGGGTTTTAAACATTTATTTTCGGGTACAAATCTGACCACTCGTTGAACAGGTTGGTTAGGTTGAAGTATTATTATTAACCTGATTGAAATTGATCCGCCCCGAATATCGAACAATTCTTAAACATACATGTACTAAAGATGGTCAATTCTTAAGCACACTTGTTTATTTATACTTCAGTCAAAATGATGCAATTTAAGTATCAAGTACCAAATAATGATCCTACAACACAAAATTCACATGATTTAAGCCTACTAAGACATCTATTTTGGATTATTTGTCGTTCATATACACTTAAAGTATAAGAAACAAAGTAATAATTCCAACCCACAGAACTATCAACCCGCCATAAAATGGTTTGAGTGGGTTGGTTTGCCTATTTTCTTGGGTGAAAATGGATTTTAATAATGTCAACCCAAACCTATTGGGTTGGCCAACGGGCTGAAGAGTCCAACCCAACCAACCCAGCCAATGCTCACCCCTCAAGAGCACCCAATTGTAAGTTTTCACTGTCGTTGAAGCTTGTAAGGGGCAACTACTGCAGAGTCATATGAACTCTTATTATCAGCTCTAGGATCTCCTCTGCATACAACAGTCCCAAAGTTTGGTGTCTGCAAACTTAATTCCCATGCGTAGCTGTTGAACCCATTCTCTTTTCAGAGCCCTCTCCGAATTCAATCGGAGTTCTGCACTAGGATGACACTAGTTAGTTAGCCCCTAGGAAAAGAGAACACTTAAGTGCAGTTTGGTTGATTCGAATCACCTCGATTTTTGCTTTGTTATTTTGAATGTAGGCATCGGCCACTGCATTACCTTACACGGCTCAAAGAGAGAAATCCGAGCTTCTCCTTTCCTCGTGCTGATCGAAGCCATAGCTGCAAACAAGAATGATAGCATGTAAATGAAAATGGGAGAAAACAAGGGTAATCGTGAGCATCGTAATAAGTTGATTCAATCGTTCACTAACCAGGCAAATTGGGGATGCAGTGTTGTGACTGTAGACTTGGTTGGAATCAAAATTGGTCGGGGCAGGACTTGTTCTCGACTCTGCAGATGATGATTCGATTCGACTGATTGGCTCTGAAGAATGAACAACATCAGTCAGTTGGCTGCAGGGTTCAATCTGCATGACTTCGGAAGATAGCTCATCTATGTGGTCGGAATCAAGTTTTCTCCTTTTAGACAAGGAACGGCAACCCTGGAGCTCCTTCGAAAGTTGACGAGCTTCTTGCTGTTTAGCAGCTTTGCTGCTCCGATTGTACCTGCTCCCAACCAAAAGACCATCTTCCAGCTGCAAAGTCATTTCCACATGCTCCATTGAATCCTCTTTATTACAAGTTTCTTTCACAAAGTACCCAATAGAACCACATAACTTGCTCGATTCACGCAGCGGGTGTAATTGCAGAGTGGAAGGGGTCACGATCGGAGATAATAGTTATTTAAACACCCTCCATACTTTGTTAAGGTCGAGATTGCTGTCCATGTTTATTGCCCCTGCTATGCTTTCCACCATGTCCCCAAGAACCTGCATTAAACAATTCGTAGTTATTAACGTAACTTCAGATCAACACAAACAGCTAACTGTTTAGAGTTTAAGTCGCAAAGAACTAAGAGGTTTACTTTCGGGTCTTCGAGTAGGATGGTGGTGTTCAGAGCTTCAGCAGTACACAACTTCTCATACTCTTGTGATATGACTCAGAAGTAACCCGGAGCAATGTTGAAGATGCTGGTGAAGGCATTTTCTCGCAGCAGCTCCGGTAAAGTTTTCATTACAAACAGCAGCTGATTGCAAGTCTGTCAACTGTCCCGGATAGCACATCCAACACCGAGTCGCCAAGAAACTCAAGCCTCTGTCAAAATATTCAACAGGTAAAAAATGACTAAAATCTGAAGAAAATATCAAGTGCAAACCTGGTAACAATATCTAGCACCTAGTTTTTGCTCAGAGGTTCACCGAAGATTGGTACCCAAGCTTCTTCTCCAGGACAGCAATTTCATCATTTTTTGGGCAGTAGGATCGGAGGGATGCCCTCGTAATGGCTTCAGTGGCTTATGTGGGTTCAAATTTAGAACCTATACCAAGCCAATTCATCACATGTAGTGCAGCAAACAATCCTTCGCCAACATAGTAGGCTCCTATGAGGGCCTCAACATTATTCGCTATGGTCTTCGAGTTCATCCATCTGCGACCTCTGTCGCAGAATTTTTCGACCTTTACCAGTTCTACAGTTTGCAATCTGCTGTCCAAAGGCACTTCTGAGGTGTCGACTCCGCATTTACACGGATTAGGGACTCTAGACCGCTGCCCTGGAGCTGCCCAACGGTGTGGTTCAAATGCTCTGTCACGTATGTATCCATGTCAAACACACATAAAATTATTGTTTTTGGGTGAGTACCTTGATGCCTAAGTTATAGACTTCAATGTAAGTTCTTGTATTTTAGGATCTTCCAACATTTTGATATATTAAGTACTATGAAAACAAATTATAGCTTGAAATATCGAAGACATCTGATACTTGTATCTTCTGTTTGATTCCTATTTTATGTGGGTAGGAGCTTATAGTATACTTGAGAACTGAATCTCCAAGTAACGACAAACATTCCAACGAGAAATCTTCACAACACCAAAGTGTTGTGTGTGCCTCCAGAATCTAATCACAAAATATTTGTATTATATGTAGTTATAGTTCTGAATAATTCAATTGAAATTGAATGAAGAACGAATTACGTAACACTATTAGTCAAACACTTGGCTATTTGTTTACAAAGCTGATTATAATCACCACGCAACAGAAGCTATTTTTTTCTTGAAACATGGAAATACACAACTAGCTCTAAATTTTGTTTGCATTGCACAAGTCATAATACGCAATCCATTATCCAATCATTGAACATTGCAACTCCTTTCACTTGAGGCCGTACCGTACAAACTATTAAAAGCCCAACTATTTCCATATGCTTCTTCCAACTCTTTTAAACACCAAACCGGGTTCGGAACCTTTGACTCATAACCCACTGCTGGGCCCCATGCATAGATCCACCCCACAAATTCCATCGGTCCATCACCACCACCGTCACCGCCACCACCAACCTCCACATATCTCAAACAAAAAACCCCAATCCCTCCCAAACCCTAACCCTAAAATTCCAAATTCTTAGCCCTAACCAACCCCAGAGCAATGTCCACACCACCACCGCCGTCGCCCACGGCCTCCTCCAAGGCCTCAGTCTCCGCCTCGCCCATGGCCACCGCTAAGAAGCCTCATCCTCTACCGTGGAGCCAAGAGGAGACGGTGCAGCTGATCCGGGCCTACCAGGAGAAGTGGTACGCGCTGAGAAGGGGCCAGCTGAAGTCGAGCCAGTGGGAGGAGGTGGCGGTAACCGTGGCGGCGCGGTGCGGTTACGAATACGGCGAGCCGTCGAAATCCGCCACGCAGTGCCGCCACAAGATGGAGAAGCTCCGGCAGCGACACCGCGCCGTGAAGAAGCGCCTCGGCCAGAGAACCAAGTCCGGCTGGCCCTTCTTCGAGCTCATGGAGCAGATGGAACGCGGGCCCATGCCCATCTCTGCCATGCCCATGGCGGAGATGCCACATCAGCAAGAAGAAGAAGAAGAGCGTGATTATCACGGCGGCGGCGGCGGCGGCCATGAAGACGACGATGAGGAGAATTCCAACAAGGTCCGGAGCATCGACTTCATCCTGCGGAGGCCGACGTTTGTGAACAGATTTTCCGGGAAAGCGTCGTTTTTGCAGGGACCCGCTGCGGCAGCGGAGTTAAAGAGAGGGAGAGAGGCGGTGGGCGGGGGCGACGTGGTGGAGCCGCCGGAGCAGAGGGGTAGGGAAATGGTGGTGGAATTGGCGGACGAGATGAGGGCATTCGCCCAGCAGTTAATGGGGGTGGAGAAGAGGAGGATGAAGATGATGAAGGAAACAGAGAGGTATAGAGTGGAGATGGAGAAGAGGAGGATCAGCATGATCCTGCAGTCGCAGCAGAAGATTGTTGACTCCATTAATACCGCATTCGGGTCTTCCAACAAGCTGAGCAGCAGCTGATCTAAGGTTGGTTTTCGATTTTCGATTTGAGTAGGGATAATGTCATGGTTTTTGTGTTTCTTGTTGAAATGGATTTGTATGGTTGACAGCTGAAGCCCAGAATTTATGCATGGTGTCATATAGTTCCAGCTGCAATTGTAATCTTTTAGTTGTAAAGTTTGGTTTCATGGTGAATAGTATCAGGAAAAGGTATAAAAATAATTTTTCGTTAAAAGTGAACAATACCAGAAGTGTTTTGTTAAAACCCCTTGTACTTTTGAATTATGCTCTCAATGTTTGGTAATAAGCCCCTTCTCTTCTCTGTTGGGGTTTGGATACAATGCCCGCGGCTTTAAGTGCACTAGGATATTAATTGATGAAGTTAGTAAACTTGCTCTGAGAAGCTCTTGGCACTGCCATCGTACTTATTTTCCTCCTGGTATCAATCCTTCACCATTTTTGAACGCATGGCCCTTCGGAGCAGCACTTGCACGCCTCGACGTATCCTCCACACACCCCCGGGTATCGGATCGGGTTGAATATGAACTCCAGCCATTGTAGTGAAACTGAGATACCAACTCAGAGGGGGTCTGAATTTACAACCATGACTAGTACAATGACTGTTCAACCACGTTTTAATTCGACTTACTTTTCCGGATCAAACATCAGTCAAACGTCGCCCGTTGACGGAAAGTAAAAATCTGAGGAGCTCCCAACACAACGTTCAAAGCAGAAAATTTTATGCAATACAGATGCCTGTTGGCCTTTAACAAACACCAGATGTGGATGAACAGCTATCAGGACTCTTTGCATTATAAACTGCGAATCGTTACAAGTTACGACATGGCATTGACAGATGATGATTGTTCTAATCCCATTCACCAATGTATACACCAGACATCTCTAATATTCACAAGATATTTGCAGAAGGCTTTTTTGCCCATAAAAATGATTGCAACGCCCTTTGATCTGAAAAGGGTAGTAATACATGCACTAATCTACTGGGCCAAAAAAGAAATAAGGTCCCTCGACAAATATGCTGGGAGACCATGAAAGAGAAAGAAAAAATTGGGAAAAAAAAACCCGACAGGTACTAGAAATGGAAAGACACGAGCCCTGTACACGTACCTCTATATTGATCTCTATCTTCCCAGAACTCTAGCCCCAGTGGTAATTTACATGGTTTCCAAAGACAAAAGCAAAATGCCTTGCAACATCACTTGGATAGTCCAGCTACATTTTTCACAAAACCTGCAAATGCCATGACCAACTCTCTTCCTGTCAATGCCCTTGTCGAATAATCAGCTTCATCTGGCATTAAACCCCAAACTGAAATCAGATTTGTTTTAAGATTGAAACACAGGACTCCGTTGACAAAAAAAAGTAGGGAGTTTTAACAAAACATTTCCTGTATTGTTCACTTTTAACGAAAAACCACATTTTTCACCTTTAACTTGCACTATTCACTATACCTTTAAAAAAGGCTTTTCGTTAAAAGAGAAGTTTTTTTTGGATTTTTCGTTAGTTTTCCTTAAAAAATATATATAAACTACCATTCGAGCATTAAAGCAATAATCAGCAATCATCAAGTGGAAGACAGATCCTACTACGGAGAAAGACAAAAAGAAGGCAACAAAAGGGGAAAAACAAAGCAATTTTATATGTAAGAAAGTAGAAGCAATGCATGCTTCATCAGTATAATTCACTTGATACGGAAAAGGTTTGCAAGTAATGGAAAACCAATAAGCCAAAGAATAATTTTGTGATGATGTTGGTGACACGTTTAAGTTTATGCAAAGCCCTATCATGTTATATCCATCTTATGGAATTAAAGAAAAGCAACTACCTGTACACCGCTGTACCAAGGGCATGTGGATCCAACCCTGGCAGGACCGGTTGCTGCAGCTGCTCATTCCTTAGAATCATTCATTCTGGTTTTGAATTACCAGACATCGTATACAAACTTCCTTGCCCTGCTTGCAGATGCTGCATTTGCTGCTGAGACTGCTGTTGCAGAGGCAGTTGATGTTGGGGTGACTCTTGTTCCTGCTGCTGCTGCTGTTGTTCTTGTTGCTGGTAATGTTGTTGAGATGGGGATGGCAGCGAAGGAGACCGTTGCAGTAGCTGCTGCTGCTGCCACTGTGCTCCAACATTAAGTCCATGAGAGAGCAAGTTTCCAGATAACCTTCTTGGGCCTAACCCTTGACTGATAGGTGGCCCAGGCTCATTCCCAGATGAATTTGTTAGTGGGGGGCTCCCAACTGGACCCACTTGAGCAGTTGAATTCGGCATGTTAGCATCATATACTGCTTCTGACGATTTCCACTGAGGAATGGCAGAAGGAACTGGAACTAGACTAGATGAATCAATACAGGACTGAGGAATCGCCGTGCTCACACCTACCGGCGAAGCACCATTCACAGGCTGCTCATCACCTTGAGTTAGATCATTTTGAGACTTATTTGGAATCTCCAAATTCACTTGGTGATTCTGCTGCAGCACTCTCTGAACATAAGGCTGAGTTTGATTAGCTTGCTTTTGTTGTTGCTGTGCCTGTGATTGCGGCTGCAGCTGCTGGTGGTTGGAAGCAATACCTGATGGAGAGCCAGTTTGATGTGAAGCAGATATCGTATGATTGGAAGGAACTGGTGGAACCTGGCCCTGGGTGATATTATCAGAATGAGAAGGCATTTGCTGGAGGTGCTTTGATGAATTGGTCGGTGCACTAGAAAGTAACTTTTGCTGCAACTGAGAATGGTTTGGTGATTGGGGGACCAATGGTTTCGATGTTGCTGGATTAAGGGCAGACCCAGAATATGCACCTTGACCTTGCATCAATTGCATGAATTGTTCTCCGTTCTCAAGAGATTGGCTTCCTGGAGGCACAAGTCCATTAAGTTGAGAAGAATCAATAGAGAGGTTTGCAGGATCAATGGAGAGGTTCTGATGCACCATTGAATTGGCTCTTCCCATTCCCTTTGAAAGTTTAGCCTGCTGCTGAGACTGCGTAAGTTGCCGCTGCTGAGGGTGGTGCCTACCAGATTGCTGAAGATGATGCTGCTGTGGTTGTCTTTGTCGTTGCTTCCCTATCTGATTGGTCATCCCACTAGCACCAGGATTCCGGCTAAAGCCATGGGATGGCAGATGATGTTTCTGCTGGTGCTGGGATGACATGGGAGTCCTTGGGGAAGAAGGTGTCATAGGGGACACAGATACTGGGTGAGGTGAAGTTTGTGACTGAAGTTGGGAACTATTTTGCAAAGTTGATGACATGGGAAGTTGGGCCTGCGGCTGGACCTGTGGCACCAAAGAATTAGATGTAGAAAACTGTTGCTGTTGTTGCTGCTGCTGCAAATACCGCTGTTGCAACTGCCTTTCTTTTGCGACGTGGAAGGCATAGGCTTGATGCTGCGACCCCGTAGCATGATTCGGGCCTTGAAGATGAGGGTGATGAGGGTTGCTGAGTGCATGGGACTGTTGTGGGGATATCTGACGCTGCTGCGGGCTATGGCCTGGATATGTTTGAGCAGATGGCGGAGTTTGCTGATTAGGAAAACCGGAACTCAACCCATTGAAGGGAGCAACTCCTTGGCCATTCCCTTGTGTGGCCTGCATTTGAAGTTCTGGAACCATAAGTTGCCTTTGATGCTCCGGATTATGGCCAGGCTATGACAAAAAAAAACTCAATAGTCAAGTAAACATAAAACCTTGGTGGACTTGGATAAATAAAGCGTAAAACATTGACTATTGAGAAAGGAAAGGAGATAATCAAATCTTCTCATCAAATGTGTCTGCCAAGAACGGCAACCTAGAAAAGCAGTGAAATGACAAGTGACTGTTCTAAGTGTAACAATAGATAATCAAACTTAAGTGTGAACAGAAGTTCCATTTCCAGCCTTGCCAATAGAAGTCAATGAGGGTGAAGTGAGGGCTAAGGTTTTAACTTTTGATCGATGAAGCTAAAACCTAAAGAATTAAATATATACATGCCACAATTTCAAACTTCAGGACGCATTTCAATACAAAACAAAAGCCTGACAGGAGGGAGGAAACCAACAGATCAAAAGTAACCAACATTAAATACCCCAAGGACATACCTCCCCCTTCCCCTCTTTCCACCCCCAAAGTGGTGGGAGGAAAAAACAAAATAAAACAATAAGATAAAACTAATGAAGATGGTTGACACCAAGCAACTAAGCACATTCAACTTTAGCCTTTCTTCTTCTACTTCGCACTCCCAGATTGGCAGGAGAAACTGGAAAAAAATAATCAAACTAAAAAAAATGAATGCAGTTTAACAAACTATTGCAACTTGCGAGTTGGGCACATTTAACCCCAACCTGCAAAAAATCAATCCTTGAGGACAAGGGAATCATAAGCTATGAACCATTTGATGCTTTCTCTAAAAGCTACCATCACAGAGTTAGATCTTAGTCTTAAACAATGTAGGTGCGTCAACAACTCACCCGCATCATATGCAAAGCATCGCGAGGTCTTAACATCAAGTTTCCCTGACCCGAACCAGCTCCAGAGTGCATATTTACAGGGCTTGGTATCCCCACCATACTGGATGAAAGCATATTCCCAGAATTAAGCATAGATGATGAAGCCATTCCCTGAAATCCTGGCCTTGACACTGGCATGCCTCTGTTTATCCCGCACATCATGCCCATACCATTTCCACCAGGAACCATACGAACTCCACGATCAGTTCCTGGAAGAGCTCCAGGCACAGACAAGCCAGACTGTTGAATGTTTCTACCAGACAACATTTGATTGTAGTGTCTTTGCTGCTCATCAACTGGCAAAGATGATGTTCTTGGACTACTGTATCTACCATCTCTGTACCATGAATAATGGGATACATAGGATTAACAAATAAATTAAAAGCATGTACGAAGAATTTTATAAAAATAATGTACACCAAAGTGACAATAACAACCGATAGAAACACACTACCTGACGTTGGCACTAAGTGGACCAGACGAGGATGGCAAGTTGCTTCCAAGAACCATACCAGAAGATCCCTGTATTGAGGCATTTGGCCCAGAAGGAAGTAATGACGCCATGGCACCCTGATTTGACATTGCTAAACCACTAGCATGAGATCCTTGATACCCAAGGACATCTGAGCTTGATGAAGTGGTATCACACAGATCAAGAGGCCTTCACGCATAAATTTTGAATACTTATTACACAGAATCATAGAAGGAGAACAAGTAAACAAGATATCTTTAACATACTGACAAAGATGGACAGATGATTAACATGGAAGAGTAGACTATTGTTGGCATGCAAGGACAAGAACTTACGTTAGAACACCTCCATTCAAGTTATTTGGAGAGACTTGGGAAAGGGCCACCACATGAGAATTGTGGACAGTCGTTATTTGTTTCGGATCCTGGTTTTCATTCTTCATAAATACACAATCACAAGAAGTTATTGTTAGGATTCAAAAAGGAGTTCCAATAATACCGAAGCAAGTATAAGAGAAAAACAGGGTAATTAAATTGCTTCCAGATCCCAACCATCTACAGTCCATTCTCGTGAGAATCTAACCAATAATTTATTTCAGTTGAACTTGAACTCAACTATCTTTATCTCACATATATTTCGAGTTGGGTCGAACAATCCATTTAATTCGAACTGGTATCATTAACAGAAAATTGACAACACCCAGCTGTTTTGGGTTTAAGATGTAAGGTACTGCCGAATATTACAATTTACAAAAACCTTTATGATCCTATGGATCAAAATCGCCAGTTTAGATGATGACAATATTAAAAAACGCCAGTCAGATCACCGAACTAAAAGGATTGGCATCTCAAGTGTAGCATGTAATCCAACAATAAGGTCCAGCATTAGTCACTGTAAAATGATTCTTCCTTAGTGGAAAGGTCTAAACTTGTGATCATAAGGATGGTCTAGCTACAGAGAAATTGGCAACAATATCAATCAAAGTCGGGCCACTGCACTGATTGAGAAAATCTATACTTATTTTCACTAACCTGACTCCTCCGATAATGATGCTTCTGACCAATGTTAATTATTTTCTCAAAATGAGATTTGAGAACATCCTCTTCCATTGGCTCTTGCAAGCGTTGAAATAATTGTCGGGCACTGCCCTGCATGAAGTAAAGAAACACCAACCAACAAAAGTAAGTAGAATTGTACTGAATGATGCAGGTCTCTCATGCTGAAGATGAAACAGTGTGAGGTCAACTTAATAGTTTAAAAGAAGCAGTTTAAAGAACACACTCTTGCCTTCGGAATGCCTGGTATTGTAGATGGATAAGGTTGAGAAGATCCTGAATCTTCAGCACTATCAGCCCCATCACCAGAATTCATATCCATCAATATTTTGTGACGCTCCTTGCACTCTTTAGGCTTGCGAAAAATACACTGCATGGTAGAGTCATAAGAGCAAGACATAGACTATGAAAACCAACACTTCAAATGCACAGAGATCATCCTCGCAATAGACAGTAAGCATAAGAAGGTGCTCCAGAAATAACACTAACCTTCAAGTGCAGCGTGCTATTGATTGCATCACTTATGAATTCCCAATTTGGGCCCATGTCATGTACAAGAACAACAAGTGCCTAAGGTAAAAAAAAAAAAAACAGTAAATTTTGTTCAGTTATTGGCAACTGTATAACAACTGAAGAGAGAACAATTTGATAAAATTAATAATGACATATTAACCTGATCTTCAAAAAGGGACCATGGACCTCCTGAACCTGGCTGCCCAGTAGACATCTGCAAAAGGTTAAATTCACATTCACAGTACAAGATGTAAGCAAAAGGTTTTTTTTTTTTTTTTTTTTTTTCCGGAATAACAGCACAATAAAGGGGGGGTCAAGTGTGAGCACACTGTCAAACAGGGTATCACCAAAGAGTTACCTTTAGTGATTTAGTTTTCCGTCCCCTGTCTCGACCACCAATCAACTTAATAAATTTACTGGTATTGGACATATTACTCATTTGGGATGCCACTGGAGAAGGATTGGATCCAGGCATTGGAGTAATACTGTCATAAGTATTATCTAGAGATTGCTTTAATATCTTTGGCTTCTTGGCTGTATGTTGCCCGTATAAACCTAAAACAAATACATAAATGAGAGAGTTCCACCACATTTTCAAATCAAAGCCCAAAACAAATATCCAAGTGAAGACAGTTACCAATTGTTCCATTGGATTCATAATGATGACCCTCCGATCTCTTTTTGGAATGATCCCTCTGCTAATTCATGACACCGTCAGTTATTTGATTAGCACTTCAAAATATAGTTCATAGGATTCATTGCAACACTTAATTGAGGGAGGATGAAATTTAAACTGCATAAACTAAAGATCAAGCTTGCAAAATAAGAAACTGCATAGAAATAGAAAACACAATCCAAAAGAATGATGCACAATTGTAAAAAAATAAAAAATATTAAGCATGGCAGACCCAGATCATATCTAACAATATTACTAATTACCTGTTCATTAAGTATAGCAGAATCCAGCTGCCATCCTTGATCATAGGCAGAACCCTGCAACCATAAAGAATACAAGAAACTTAGCCAGTAATTAAGGTACGAGAACTACAGAACCTTCCATATTATTCCATGGATAACTCAGTCCAGCTGAATTATGAGTACTTCATGTACCAGATGTTTGGCCTTCTTCTTCTTTTTAGGCTTCATTGATGTTTCTGCATAGTCATATGGTAACTGCTTTTCAAAGTCCCCAACAGATTCAACCTCCACACTTTTCTGGAACTGAGATCCACCATGTAAAGTACTTTGATCATCCTGAAAAGAATTAGTATCACCACTTGAAGCATCTGTCTTAATCGGACCCAGAACATTCCCATTAGCTCCAGCACCAAATGGACTAACGACCCTCTGCCTGGAAGCAGTGCGCATGCGTTTCGTTGGAATTGAACCAACATTGAGACTAGCAGGCCTTTTCCCCATCAACATGGACTGGTGAGTTGCTGTTGTGCAGTTGCCGTAAGGCAAATCAGCTCCTTCATATGACCTAGAAGCATATAACTTCAAGTTCTTTTGTTTCTTCAGGTTAGATTTTAATGACTTGCTACCTTCAAATGCTCCAGGCAAATAATAGGTGCTTGTTTCTCCTTCATCCTCATCATATGCAGCCTCTTGAAAACCAAACTCTGAGATTGAATAGAACAACTTAATAAGCACAGGATTTGCTATACAAATAAAACAAACGTGAACTCAATTTAGCTATACAAAAATAGTTTTGAGTTTGTACCTGCTCCTGCATCATACATAGATGTCTCAACTTCCTCTTGCATGCTACTGCCAGTTCTCTGAAATTTTGCAAGTCGCTAAATCAGCAAGAATAAACCAAAATGAACCAAACAGTTACCAAATCAATTATGTAAGAAACCGTCTGCAAGAGACACAATATAAACAAGAAATTCCTTCCAATGATAACCAATACATATACGAGTAACCAATTCACAATGGAATTTGGTTCCCCATATTCTCCAAATAAAATGTGATAAATCCTTGGAGAAACCAGAAACAGGAAGCATCTAATCAACAACACTAGTGCACATTGCACTTACCTCAAACTGAACCAAATGAGATTCGATTAATTTTCTATAGGTTTCCATTGCACCAGAGGGAACTGCATAGAAGAGATTTTCCTGCAAAAACAAAATCTCAGTTTTTAAGAAACAAACAATAAAAAGCTCTGAATAGAATTCAGGTTGCCCAAGTGATTTGGATAGTTAGCTTGCCCCTACCAGATTCGAGGTATAAGCCCCTATAATTGCAAATGTATAAATTTTTATATACATATATAAAATTTATATTAAAAAGCAAATAAAGCATAAATGCATGCAAGAGTTATCCCTTAAAGATATAACACATGGGATTCTTAAGGGACCCCCAAATAATTTCCATGTTATAATAGATAATTAGCACCTTCGTGCGAGCGCGTGTATTTGAGAGAGACAGATAATATAAAAGACCGACAGAGAGAGAGAGAGAGAGAGAGAGAGAGAGAGATGAACAGAGGTTGGGTAGGATGGAGAGATGGGTGGCCAATGTCAACATAGATAGCTTCGCCAACAAAAATAATCATCAAGAACATGACCATACCTCTGTAAGATGATCCTCCCATGACATTTCTGTAATGCCTAAATCAGAAATTCTCTCAGGAGTAGCAGGTGCTTGTGCTTGAAGGTCAGGACCCAGAGATTTGTTATACTTCAAAAATCTCACTGCGTATTCCCGCACTGAAAGTGCAAGATCTTTTTGGGGATGCTGTGGTTCCAAATCTTTGCTTGGCTCCTGACCATTATTGATCAACGACATATAGCACGTACATGTTAGACAAAAGTTATGGCATCTTCTGGCCTATAAGCACAGTATCAATGGATACAAACAATGAACGCATGAAACAAGTTTTTCAGCCAATGAAAGCGTCTTTAAGCAAAACAACCAGGACGTGCATCTCAAAATTTAGAGAATTCATTCAAGCCTAAAATAGGCAAAAGAATATTACATTACTCAAATTCAAACATCCACGTGAGTACTTTTTCGTAGAGATTACTAAAGCATTTTGCGACCCTCTTTGAAACTATAAACTTAGCATAACTCTGATCATTTATTTAAAGGCACAATACATAAAGAAGAGAATTGTATGCATCCAGAACTCCTACAAGCCTCTCTAAGTTCTGCAAGTTCAAAATAACCTTAAGAATGGTAAATAATTAATCTGATTCATACTTAAGGCAACAGATTATTTTAATGGCTCTCTCTCTCTCTCTCTCTCTCTCTCTCTCTCTCTCTCTCTCTCTCTCTCTCTCTCTTATCAAGTAATCTAAAAGTTCGCACGAAAAAAGTAACCACCAAAGGGAAACTAACCACCTTCATAGTATGTGATTCCTATAACTAAATTGACCAAAAGTAACAACCATTGATAGAAAGGTAAGAAAAACGACCACTACCATATTGGGTTCCCCATTCTTGTCTTGAGAAGTTTTGTTCCTATCAATCCTCATTGATCCAACCAAATCGTAGTTACAGTCCCTTTGACAAGAACTTGAATCATCACCCTTCAAAAGGGTCTCAGCTGAAACCCAAAATTGGTTGACAGCCTTTGCCAGGTCATGAGCCACTTTTTTTAGCTCCCAATGTTGATGTTGGGATTCAATTCTCAACCGAGAAGTAAAAGCAGCGCGATGACAAATTTGAGCAGCAGCAGTAAGCTTCCAAAGACGCTCCTATAAACACAAAATAAATGAACAAAAATGTTTACAAAACTAATAAATATAGATATATTAATATTAGTTAGTTTCCACAATACGTGTATAATCACAATATCATGCCTGCGCAAAATCATTTGCCAACCAAGCCATTTCTTCAAGGACAAAATCCCACTGAGACTTTCGGCAATTCTCCGATGGTAAAGAACGAACAGATAATTCAGCAATCCTCTTACGCTTAGCCTGTTTATGGCAATTGAAGAAGTAAGTAAAAGCTCCTTCAAAGTTTGTAAAATTAGACATCATAAATTGCAGGAAAGTGGAAATAACCTCTATAATTCGTGCCTTTTCCAGAATAGAATCTTCATGTGCCTTGTCTACCACTTTCAAGTGAACTCTAGGAGTCTGGCAGTCAGAACCTGCAGCAGTATCTTTCCCTGACAAAACAGTCCCAGGAACCTCATGCATTGATGAGTCTTGAGGACCCTGGGATATGCCAGTGGAAAGGTTCTCTTTGTTGATGTTGGAACTACTATCCAGAGCTTCATCCACCTTCTTAACAGCTTCTGATATTAGAGGGTCACTTGGTTGTTCTCCCTCAACGTTTGAATGAAGCTTAACTTCATTATGCAACTCAGATCTACTTTGACTCATGTCTTCCTCAACTTTGACTTCGCTGTTGCCAGAGTTGTTTTGACAAACAGAAGCCTGGTTATCATTAACAATAGCACCACTGTCAACAGCGTTGGTTTCCTTATCTTCTTGTACCATTATGCCACCAGCTAGATTTCGTGTCCCATCCACATCTGATGATTCGATAATATTTCCATTATCAGCGTTCCTCATAGTAGTACACATGTCACTGTCATTATTTACATCTAATCCTAAACTAGTTTGGGTGCAAGAAGACTCTGAATCTAAACCCTTTGGGCATAGAGCTGCACTGCTAATTTGACCTTCATGTGGCACACTTTTACTCTCCCTATTTAGATTGTTATACCCATTCATCTGAACCGAACTAAGTTCATTTTCAGTCTTTGTTGTAGCAGCACAAGGAGGACACTCAAGGACAGATGATGCTAGTGGTTCCCTGTCTGCAACAACATCAGATCTCTCAGAAACAACATCAATGGGGGTTTCCTGAGCATCAATCTGAGATGGTTGACTATGTTGGCTATCCGTCAAACTTTTAAGAGTTGTAACATCCAATTTGTTTTGAGATCCATCTTTCATTGGACCAGTAATTACTTCAGGGGCTTGCACCCCCTCCAAGTCCATATCGAACTGATTATCAGAAGTTACAATCTTGGGAACAATATCACCATTTGAACTCACATACTTTACGTTAGGGCCAGAAGGTATATTCTGGTCCTTTTGGTTGTTTGTTTCAGATATCGGCCTCTTAGGATCCTTTGACAGCCCACGAGAAGGTAAAGAAGAACCCTGACCTCCACGACCCTGCATATCTGTTGAATTTGATCGAGTGCCATCACGATTTGGTCTGGACCTGTTCCTTCGAGCATATGGACGGAATATAGCCGAGTCTTCTGATTCCTTGGGGTTTTGAGTCCCATCCATCTGGGAAGACTGTTCTGATGGACCATTGTTATTCCTTCTACTAAGATGCATAGAATTCCTTTCACCATCAGGAGCATCATTGTCGGCATCAAAGAGTAAGAGATTATCAGCACTATTGGGTTCACAAAGTGTAGGAACCTCTGGTCGACCGCTACTTTCAACAGAGTCCCCATGTGTTGATGCAGTCAATGCAAAACTACCTTTTGCTTCACTGAAATCAAAACCATGACATAAGGAAAGAAAATAGAAGAGCATTAGAAATTTAATGAAAAATCATGTGATCTACAACCCATTTATGAACAAGTGAATTAAAACTCTACCTGGTCACAAACTGTTCTGGTTGCTGATCAGTGAGTGAAGTAGACTGAACACTAACAGAAGCTCCATTCCCAACCTTGAAGTCCAAAGGATTGCCACCCTGAAAGTAATTAAATAGTGATAATCAGTACATGAAGAAGTCAAAAATAAATCAGCACCATAAGATTAAATTTCCATACTTTCTCAAGAAATTCTAGCTCCTTTCTTCTTTCCTCCCTCACATCATACTCCTGTCTGTTATCAGAAAATAACAGTTCATTGTATACTACATGCAGACATGAAAATATCAAAATATAAAAGTTAAAGAAGAAGGGAAAGCAAACCTAAGCTCTGCTTGGGCCTTCTCGATTGCTGCTCGGCGTGGAGAGGTTTTCAAACCAATACCAACTCCGCCGTCAACCACTCCACCCATGGAATCAACCTCTGCATTTACTAGGAGAGCAGATCCTGAGCTACATCCATGCATTCCGACCTTAATGCCCAGAGTCTTTAATCTCCCATCTTATCCAAAGTCTATAAAAATTACTGAAGGCACAGATATAAAAAAATCAAATCAGAATCAGGAACTTACTATCAGATATAAAAAAATCAAATCAGAATCAGGAACTTACTATGTAATTTTCTATTTATAAACAAAGGAGAAGAACCTGATAACACAGGTAATAAGAAAATAAACTTTAGTTCACTAAATTCGAATTGCTGCATCATAAGCAACCAGGAAAAAATGTCCCCATTTGACTAAAAAGCATCCGAACAGTCTTGAGTTTTAATGTTCTTTTAAACAGAACTAGAAACAGGTATAACATGATTTACAAGCACAAAAAGCTAGAAATCAAATTGAAACAGACATATACAAAGATATGCAGATTGTCAAACTCATATTGATCCCAACAAACAAACTTAGAAGGGTAAGACATGCAGCTAATGTATACACGAAACATCATATTATGGCTGCGGGTTCCATTCTTAGACCAAATCTAACTATAGTTCCTCTCCTCCCAGAAATCAACGAGTTGTTGGAGGAAATGCATATTAAAGCATTTAAAGAACTTCAAATAATAAAAATAAGAGGAAGGAAGAATGTGAATTCAACATGATCATAAACATCGCCAAAATTATGAGACATTCTCCAGCTCTCAGAAAATGATTTTCCACAATTTATATCAATGTATGGTAGTTTCAGTCTGCATAGCAGTTCACAATTTAAATCAAATCCACGAGATGCTAAATATTCAAGGGCAAAATTGAAAGACAATATAAAAGCCACATTGCATGAGTGGAAAATCATCAGGTTCAAACCAAGCACTAACCACTGTACAGGTGAAACCTAGTTCAAACAGCTAAGTACAGAAAAGGAAAAATGTGGTCTGCCAAAAAATAGGAACATGAAAAAGCAACGACCAAATTATGGTAAGTCATTACTTGCATAATATATACTGTACGTATTCGGTACTAATTACGCTACAATTTTGAGCAACAATTGCATGCAAGAGGCTTGCAGAGAATGATTTCCTTCGAATTCCCACCGGTGCACTTTCATATACACCCACTAAAGCTACAAAGCCACTGGCATACAACTCAAAGAAGGAACATACTCAATTCCCCCATGAGGGGGACTTCGAATTCCGGCATTCAATCCCATGTCAAAACAATAAGCGCACTGATAGCAAAACTTACCCTATAACCCCCAAGCATTCAATCACAATGCATTACAGAATCACAACGAAAGACACCTCCCCACAAATTGTCCTAACGAGCGAAACCCTAATTCCATTCAACCCCAAGCAAACGCCTAATTTCAAAAATTCTAGGGTTTACGTGACAAAAACCTAACACGAACAGAGCAGCAAAAATACCTGCAATTGGGAACAGGATAGCAAAATTGCGAGCTAGGGCACAACTGTGGTGCCACTGGGGACTTCAATTTCTGGAAATTTCTCTCTCCTAGGGTTTTGAACAAACACAAAAAAAAAAAAAAAAAAAAAAAAAGGCTCAGAAATGGAACGGGACCAAGTTTGCCCTTGAACACAAGACCTCTCTCCAAATGTCAGCCATGAAATGGATGCTTACACTTGCTGAGAAACTCTCAATCTGCAATTGACTGATTTCTGGTTTGGGGAATTAGGTTTCCGGATTGATGTTCTCGTTGCGTATTTGGGGGTGAAGAGTTTGGGGAGTACGCGACCTCTGCGAATAGTGGGCTATGTGCGCATTGGGGAAGAAGACGAACACGACGAAGAGGGCTTAGAGAAATTGGACGTACATTTTGGGCTTTTTATTATTACGTCCCTTAAAATTTTATTTTTTCGAGTTCGATTGGGGTTGGTTCGATGAGGAAGAAGAAACAGGCCAAAATTTAAATACATGAAATTTATTTTTTTATTTTTTTTATTTTTTGACTCTCATTTTGTTTTTTTTATCACTAAAAGGGAAATAGTCCGATTGATTATTATCATCTCTTGTAATACTTCAATTTCACATAAATTTGACTCGGCTTTCATTCTGTTTGTTTATTGATATCCACGTTTTGATTGTAATCTCACTGTTATAGTTATGCGGAATAAATCTTATACTATACCTTTATTTACGTACTGTAACTTACTTCAAATTCGTATTTAACTGATATTTCATTTCTTGATACGCATATTTTGATTGTGAGTTGATCGCTTATTGTCATTTGATATTTCTTCCTTTAAGATCACTAGCACTCGATGATGTGTCATTAGCATTAAATGGAACTCTAAATCCCTAATCGACCACTTTTAGCCAAATTAAAATCTAAATTTGCTTGATTACAAGGGGGTGAGTTTAAAGATTCAAAACTTCATAGATAATTGAGAGTTAAAACACTTCAAAATATGTTCACGTCATCATTTAACGCTAGTGTCTAGTAAAATAACAAATTTTCAGTTTGTCCACGTCAAAATTTAATTCATCACTTATGCACCCTTTCTCGAACATCATTTTTTTTATATTTTAGAATAACGTAAACACCGAAACCCCGCCAAACTCTCTCGTTCTCTCTCTGACGATGATTTCCATGGCAGGGTCCGGAAAGGGGCAGTATCATGCCCCACTGTCGAAGGACATGGAGATGAGAATGCTAACCGTATACATGCTTTTTTTTAAAAAAAACATAAGTGAAAGATTTATTATACGTATGCATTTTCGGTTCTCGTTTGGTGTCGAGAATTGGATTGGAAAATGTATTTTGCGCATAGGATAGGATCCGCTAGCATTGGTACTAAACAATGATAAGGTATAGAAGCATGAAGCATTCCATCCTTCCATAAGCATTAACCAACCAGACAATTGTAAAACACAGTATCAAGCAAGCATCACGTCTCAGTTCTCCACGACATGTAAAACGCTATCAAGTTTTTCAGGTTTACCCGCAGCTAGACTATATACCTGACGAATTGCTGGTTTGGTATTGCTGTGTTTTGAAAAAAAACTGCTGTGAGAATAAGCGGCTGTGCTGTGAGAATAAGCGGCTGTGAAATAAAGCAGCAGAGCGTTTGGTAAACTTTTTTGTAAAAGTGCTTTTGGAAAAAAAAAAAGCAGTCTGATAGTGTGTCTTTTTCATTAAATGAGCATTGTAGCTCCATGTGCTTTGAAAAAAAAGCCAGTTTTCCAAAGCTGCAAATAGCAGCTTCAGCTTTTTCCTTTGATTTCAGCTTATTCTCACAGCAGCTTCCAAAATAAGCTCTCTTTTTTCAGTTTACCAAACACCTAAAACCCTCACAGCTTTTTTTTTATAGGTGCTTTTTTTTTAAGCACCTCACTCCCAAACTAGGTTGAACGAGTGAGCATTATTTATCGTTTTAGCAATAAGATTTAATTATCTTTCCTGTTTTCTAATGTTTCAATATGTTTTAGGCTTCCCTTTCCAATTAGGAGGAGGAGAAGAATTGTTAGTTGAAAAGCAGAAAGTTGGTGACTCAATGGAACTGGACAACACAGATGGCTCAACTCGAACTGAACGTGCTGCTTTCAGTGTGACGCAGCTTGGCTTGATCCTCTCTGATCGCATTAGTCTAAACAGATACTCCATTTGTTTCAAATCCCCAGCCCTCCCAAATGCATCTATCACCACATTGTATGTCGTAATCGTCCACGAGTAATGATATTTCTGCATGTATTCCATCACAGCACTCATATTCTCATATTTCCCAGCTTTTCCATAGCAATCTAGGAGAATGTTGAAAGTCGCAATATTGGCTTGGAATTGGATCCCAGCACTCTGAAACCTCTCAGAACACTTTTCCATTGTTTCTATTTGCCCGCTGTTGCCATAGGCAGATACAAGAGCAGTGTAAGATTCAGTGTTGACATCACAGCCTGCTTCAATCATAGCTTCAAAAAGCTCGCGGGCCTTTTCCGGTTGCTTACATTTTCCAGGATGACGATTAGCTTTAACGTATACAGCAGCGTTAGGTCGGTACCAGAGCAGCTCCGGTAGTAGTTCAAAAACCTGAAAGTATAAAGGATAAAACGACCATGAGAAGAGATGCTCATAAAATGTTCATTCATCTCTCTATGAAAATATAAACAGTGAAAATAATCAAAATCAGCTACCAGAATTAACATTATTCTGATTTTCAAGGGTCCCCATAAGCTGAAAATCGAACCTTTTCTACGCATTCTACGCTAACAAAACGAAATTGAGCTGACCGAAACACCAAAATTCAAATAAAACTCAAGCTATCCAGCAAACTAATTGCTTGAAGGCAGCAGAGTAGACCCTTCAGCTACCCCATTCCGAACAAAACACCAAAATCCCAGTACTCAAAACGTAAATCTCTCTCCTTTCCAACATTTCTCAGCAACCAAGGAGAACAAGTACAAACCCGGATAGAATTTCCGAAAACCCAATTCATCCTGTCACTTCTCACACCAGATGAGTCTAATAATATTTGCAAACAGACCTAACGCAAAAATTCCTATGATTCTTATGCGAGCTGCCCTACGAATGACGTGATTGGTATGCTATACAAGTTTTTCTTCATCATTGTAAGCACGTTGAGTTGTCACTGAAGAGGAATAAAGGGTATTTGAGTTCGGTTCCTACCCTAAGAATTCTTCATTCCATCAATAAGTTATATAAGTAATCAAATCAGTTCAGTTCGACACCAACGTCGACAAAGCCAAGAACTGGCTAGTTTGTACAGGGTGAAGCAATATTCTCCACAAGCAAATCACTAACTATAGTAGGCGGTTCATTACACCAAGTACGTTCATCTCCACAATGGAGGGCAAACCGAGCTGGTCTGAAAGCCACCGAGTTAGCTTGGAAGCGGAAACCAACAAAATGGTTAATAACTATCATCGTCACCTTGATGCTGGTCCCAGGAAGATCCTCGCCGAATCCTCATTGTGAGAATCTCCTTAAATCTCATCATACATTGTGCAGTCAGAAATCATTGTACAAATTTTTATTTACAATTGAATATAAACAGGACCTTACAAAAAACTGATTGTACAATGAACAATGAACGAATGTGATTAGAAGATCCGGCAAGGATCCTGTCTTGCTGGTGTATATGATTGATGAATGATAAGTACTAAAGCAAACAAATTTAATGCTAGATTACGATTACAAGGGCTTATAAAGCTGAAAGCTTTTCAGAATCTAACAAGTACACATTAATGGCAGTTTCCAGAACCAAAACAAACACTTGAAATTTGATTGTTCATCTCGATTTTCAAATACTCAAACAGAGACAGACTCCAAATCCCAAACCAAAAACAAACCCCCCTTCTAATTCCCACCCAACCATACAATTACAAAGCACACAATCACATTAATCCCTAATCTAGTCCCTAATCTTCACATTATCTCCATCCCATCTAATTTTTTGCCGCCGGCGTTGATCCCTCCGGCCTGCTGCGCCGCTGCTTTCTTCTTCGCCTTCTCCTGCAGCGCTTTCGCGTCCCTAAGCCGAAAAACAAACAGAATCCCCAGCTCAGAATTGAATCAAAAACAAAATCCCAATTCAGAACCGAAACACAAGCAAAATCCCAATTCATAACTGAATCACAAACAGAATTCTAATTCATAATTGAATCACAAACAAAACCCCAATTCATGAGTGAATCACAAGCAAGATTCCAATTCAAAATTGAATCGTAAACACCAATCCAACTCAGAATTAAATCACAAGCAATGCATTGAACATGAAAGGCATGAAGTTCAGAGAAAAAGGGATCAAAATCGATACCTTTCGCGGCGTTGTTCAGGGGTTAATCCGTCATTTTTGGGCTTGGATTTGTTGCCGCCAGACCTGGCCTGAGCCCTTTCGCGGTCTCGATCCCTCTGGTTTCCGCGTTCGCTTCAGTTAAGACAAACAAAAAAAAACACTTCAAGCATCACAAACAACACGACTCTCAAATTACAATCCGTTTGGTTGCCGAGAAAACGCCGAACACAACATGAAGTCAAAGATCTGATCTTCGTGATTTTCTCGGCGTTTATCGGCAGCCAAACAGGGCATAAATCATTACAATTTAGAAAAAAAATTAACAGGGGAAGAATCGGATCCGCTTGCAAAGGATATGGGACATTATTGAAGTGTGTGAGTGAAGCTGAAACAGCCAAACAGAATACAAATACAACAAAAACCCCTGAAATTCGAAAACAAATCAAAATTCAATTAACGATTTCATCGAATCAAAATCCCAAATTCCTAAACGAGAAAAAAAAAATTAAAAAAAAAGAGGTAAATTTGAATTTACCTGGTCGAGCAACCCGGAGAGATTGATGAAGAACAAGAAGAAGAATGCTTGCCGGAGGCTTTGATGGTGTTGTGGTGGCTAAAAAGGGAAAGATGTTCGGAAGCGGACGATGTATGGAAGTCTCGAGAAGCCGCGCTTTTTTACACTTCCGCGAATAAATAATTTTTTAGTTGGGTGCTCATCTGGCATTATCTGTTTTTAATTATTTTTTGGCGAGTTATTTGTGCAATATCTATTTAATGTGCCAAATTAATTGGAAAGGATTCTTTTCGAATCTCTTCTATTACAATTTGATTTAATTACATTTTCATACATCAGGTTTGGATCTATTTTAATTTCTTACAATATTTTCAAAACATTTCACTTTCATACCTTAAGTACTATTTTATTTCAAAATAATACTTCCGTTACATTTTCCATCCATTGATCTGTTAAATGTTGACGTGGTTGCCACATATATGTCACGTGGTTGCCAAATGTCTACTACATGACAAATAAAATATTTTTTTATTTAAAAAAAAAAACCTGAATTTTCTCAAAAAAAAATTTTGAAACCAGTGCCTTCCCCCCCCCCCCAGGACCTTAACCCATAAGAGGGAGAAGAAAAAAAAAGTCCTAGTTCGTCACACCCGAGCCACCCCTTTCTCCCATCCCTCATCACCCACCCCCAAAAATTCCACCCGAGATTAGGTGGATCTACCACAAAACCAGTCCAAAAATCATCTCAAACTCAAAGTATTTTCAAAACCCACCCATAATGAAAATCACAAGATCCTGACCCGTGGGGAAGGGGAAAGGGAGAAGGTCGCACGGCGTCGGGGAGGGGGGGGACGAATTGGGTTTGGGTTTTTTGTTTTCCTTCTTCTTCTTCCTCTTACTGTTGCTGCTGCGGTTTTTTTTTTTTTTTTTTCTTCTTCTTGCTGCTTTTGGATTCTGGGTTAGGGATAGGGATGTGGGTCGCTGGAGGGGGGAGGGATGGTGGGTTTCTTCTTTTTTTGAGAAAATTCAGGTTTTTAAAAAATAAAAATAAATTTTTTTTTATTTGTCACGTGGCAGACATTTGGCAGCCACGTGGCATATATGTGGCAGCCACGTGGCATATATGTGGTAGCCACGTCAGCATTTAACAGATCAATAGATGAAAAATGTACCGGATGTATTATTTTGAAATAAAATAGTACTTAAAGTATGAAAGTGAAATATTTTGAAGATATTATAAGGAATTTAAATAGATCACAAACCTGAGGTATGAAAGTGTAATTTACCCTTAAAATTATTATAACTTTTAAATAAACTTTTTGTTTGTAGTTGTTGGATCCAATTTCAAGAACTCGGATTGATTGATTAGGTGAATTTGATGGAAGAGATCCGAAGAGGATCCCTTTCCAAATTAATTAATTAATTAATTGACCTTTTGAAGAAAAATAATTGGGCTTCTTAAAAGGATGGGAAGACATAGCATTCAGGCAAGGCCCATATAAACGTGACAGTCATCAAACCATTGGGCTGATGTTTAAGTGCAGTTTGAAGTTATGCCTTTGTTGATTCAAAAAATTGGAATTTGAGACATTTTTAAATTTGGTGAAAAAAATATCACTAGACTAAAGACTAGCAGGTTTGATTGGTCCATACACGTCACCCCCTTTCCTCCAGTCACTGGCGGAGCGCTACAATTATTTTCGGGAGGAAAAACCAGCATAGTTTTGTCAACATTTTTAAATTACAAACATGTTAATATCTCTCTCGTCTTGTCGTAAAGAAGAAGAAATTACATGCAATTATGCATGTACGGTGGTAGGCATTCAAAAATCAATCACGCATTTTCATTGAAGTAATTAAAACACATGAAACTGCATCCTTTTCGTGTTATGGATGCATGCAAAACCCTAAAGAAAAACAACATTTGTAGCCCACGCCCTATATTAATTTCTTTGTTGAGATAGTGACAGTATTTAAAGTAACAATGGCAAGACATGTGAAGTCAACAAATTAAAGACAAAGATAACCTGCAATTCCACACCTACATTAAAAATATGTCCCACTCTTGCATTAGATCAAGATCTTTGAAAAGTCTATGAGATCCTCAACTTCTTTTACTAGTCATATATTATAATTTTATTTTCAATACACCGGATTATGAAATACTCCGATATTTCGAGTCATTTGATCTAATTTTAATGTATAATGTGGCACTTAAAACTGTTAAATTCAATATTGAATCAAACGGCTCTAAGCGTCGAAGTATGACATAATCTGGTGTATTGGTACCACCCACATGGAAAAGAAAAATAAGAAGTGTAGTAGATGATGGGCATGTGGAACCAATATTAAGCTAGCAAAAACCTGCACATTCTTGTACTTTGATTGCAACTAGTTAGTCGTTACCTCCAAATTCATAACAACCTAACATCTTCAACCACTCATCTTTGAAACAAACGAATTTCCCACCACAAAACCTTCAAATCAATACATATTAGTATATATATATTTTTTCGATGTATTTATGTGTAGGTCGTTATTATCCAATAATGACTATTCTTGCTTTGTAAATCTTACATACATGAATAATCTAATCAGATCAGGTCATGCCCACACACACTACTCATCCTAACATCATTTTTTATTTTCACCACTTATCTTATGAACCAAAACAAATGCTTGCCTATTGCTCTATGCTCCTCCTTCACTTGAGTTCCATACTTTGTCTTCCAACTTATGCCATACCCATCCTCCTTGTGTCTTCGACTCTCGATTCACTTGTATATCTAATTTTCTTCCCCCTTCCCTTGTCTCTTTGGGAATTGTTTCTTTTTACAAGTTTGTTCCAATTTCATTACATCTATTTTAATTGATCACAGAACAAGTCCTAAAGAAATAACTAACCCATAAAACCCTAAACCATAAACCCTAAACCCTAATTAACCCATAAAAACGACAAAAACGTTACCCAGAAACTATTATTACTTTTCATCGCATTATGAGGAATAACATAACTATTAGGTTGACCGTTGATATGTATAGCAGCAGTAAATTTGATAAGCTGAAAAAATTGAAGTATATGTATGACGGTGTTGTACTTGCCACAAACAAGCGGAAGTAGAGGGAACCTAGTACCTCCTCCTCCCACAAGACTCGCTCCCCTTGCCCAAATGCCCCAAAAATCCCTCTTTCCCTCCCCTACAATTTGAGAGCTAAAGTCGTATTATAAAACCAGAAAAAAAAAGAAAAAAAAAAAGAAAGAGATTAACCAACAACCACAAATACAATCAATCATCCACACAACTAATTACTAATTAGGCTTTAAGCGAAGAAAGAAGACAAACAAAAAAACAAACATACAGACCCACCATTGACAACTTGCTATCGATCCATCACTTAGATTTTGCCTTTTGGTGCATCGACTCTCTCTCTCTCTCTCTCTCGTCTTTTTATCTAGATTACAATTCTTTTTTTGCTTCCATCATCATATGAATGTTTCTTTGTCTCTCTCGGGCTCTGGTAAATCTCAGCTTTATTCTTATTGTTTTTCAGAGAGATAAACACGATAACTAAATAATTGAAAGCTGGCGGAGCCATCGTATCTGCCGGTACCACCAGAAGCAACGGTCACGGGACGTAAGGTATCCCATGCATGTACCCACTTTCCGTTTCATTTTCCTCCACTATCAAAGTTCTGTATAACTGTAAACTTAAACGTCTTAGATTCAGACTTTTATTGTTTTACATCCAAATTTCTCCCATGAATGATGAAAATGCGCAAGTAATGTGTATTGTGATGTCGATTGACCGACACAACAAGAAATTTGATCGACTGGCACAAATAAGCTGATCAATTGAAGAAGGAAGCCAGTTGACCAATACATAAGAGTTATACATTAATTGTGCAATTCTCATTTAGCGTTGGAGGATTTTAGGTGGTTAATGAGTTACCGTGAAATGTGGTGTCGAGATGACAGACGTTAATTAATCGGTTGATTGACACCACAAAATGGCGGCGGGTCGACATAACTGCATTGTGCATTTATTACGCAACACTCATTGTAGCAAGTTAGCAACGAAATATATTTTTTTTAAGAAAAACTAACGAAAAATTCAAAAAAATTTCTCTTTTAACAAAAAACTATTTTTAAAGGTATAGTAAATAATGACAGTTAAAGGTAAAAATATGATTTTTCATTAAAAGTGAACAGTACATGAAATGTTTTGTTAAAACTTTTTTTTTTTATACGCGTAAAAATTATAGTTCGTTACTGGTTTTTAACTGGAAACCGTAACTGATGCATGAACTACGTATTTAGTAACTAAAAAAATACATAAAAATGTACGTATTCTTGCGGTTTTTTGCTTAGATGCCCTCAGAAAACGAGTATATTACTCAACTGAAAGAAAAAAAAATTATAGATCCCCATTGTTAGTTCAGTTACATTTCCCAAGAAATCTCAGAATCCAAACAAATCGAACAGATGCTTCCGATCCGCTGATTTCCTCATTCCTCCATTGTATTTTAAATTTGTTCATTTAATTTATTTTTGGTGAATTTGTGAAATGGAAGGTCGCCGGAGGCTAACGCTTCTCGATCAGATGTCAGCAAGTAGCAACGGGAGAGACTTAGCCGGATTGAGCCTACACGACGTGTTGCTGGCCCCTGCAGCCGCCAAACAGCCCCCTCCACCGCCCGCACTTCCCGCCATAATCTCGGGTCGGACCCTACTCGATATAATCCGCGACGAGGAGCCCAAGTCCTACCGGGCCCTGATTGGCAAGAAGGATAAGAAAGCCTGGAAGTCGTTCAAAGAACGCCTCCTACTCAAACGAGCCGGCTCGGCCTGGACCTCCTCCGTCCGTGTCCCCACCTCCGACATCCCTATCCGGAATACGACTAACTACGGTTCCAATCACCACCACCACCCGCGATCTCGCAACTCCCGTCGCAGCTCGGTCCGTTACGTCACTCCCGAGTCCGATCTCGACATGACTCAGCAGGTCGAGAGGCAAATTTCGCGGCGGGGCTCCACCCGGTTCAGCGCCAACCCCTCGATTCCGCCCGACGAGGTGGATATAAACAACCCCCGCGCCTCGATGTTCTCGCGCCAGGGCTCTGTGCGGTTCGCGGCGGACGAGGTCGCGGCGGACTCTCCAAGGCGGCGATTGTCGGCGGCGCTGGACGAGGAGAGATCGCTGTCGGCGAGGGAAGCTGTAGCGGCGCAAGAGGCTGCCGAAGCTGCGGCGGCGGCATTGGCTGCGGAAGAAGATACGAGAAATGACGTGTCGTCGGGAGAGACGGGTGCGGCGTCGGGGACGGCGGAGCCGGTGAGGATGTCGTTGATGGACTTGTTGGAGGAGACGGACAGGCAGATGGGGGTGGAGTCGAGGTACACGATGGACGAGGACGAGGATGAGCAGGTGTACGAGGAGGAAGAGGAGGAGGAGGAGGTGGATGTGGCGGCGGAAGAAGGGAATGTGGAGTATAACTGCTGCGTGTGCATGGTGAGGCATAAGGGCGCGGCGTTTATCCCCTGCGGGCATACGTTCTGCAGGATGTGCTCCCGAGAGCTGTGGGTCCAGCGGGGCAATTGCCCCCTCTGCAACAATTTCATCTTGGAAATTCTCGATATTTTCTGAACCAGAAAAAAAGTAAAAGTAAAAGAAAATGCAAGTTTCAACTTTTAATTGGAGTTTTTAGAGGAAACCTTTTTTTATTTTATTATTTATTTTTCGTTTTTGTATTTTCCTCCTAATTAGTTTCAGATTTCAGTAAAAATGAATGAATGCCTTCTGTCCGGCCTCTTCTCTGTACATATATGTTTTCTTTCTCCAGGTTGAGGCTGTAACGGCTATAAAAGGTTCGGAGTCTTCCAGCAATCTGTTCGACGTTAGGTCAGTGTGGAAGATACTATGATGGTTGCAATCACTCAAGTGTATTCTTTTTATGTGCGATGTCCGACCAACAACATTACCCATCGGCTAGCTCGGTTTGAAGGCCCACCTCCGGATCTCTTTCCACCAAGATCATAATAAAAGTTATTATAACTTTTAAAGGAGATTTCTATTTTTAGCCATTGAATCAAATTTTAAGGATCTATATCACTTGATCTAGTGACCTTAGTGGAAGAGATCCATAGATGATCTCTTTCCCTTCCGAGTAGTTGTTTTTGTTGTTAGTTTGAGAACCCCGAACTCATTTTTTATTTGTTAAAATGAGCAATGTTGTATCTAAGATCTTCTCTGTTAATGCAAGCTACCGTTGCATTTAAATAATAGAAAAACTAATGGAAGGGTACTGGGGAATTTTGGGTCCCATGATAACTTCTTACACGATAAGTTATCACGATCTCAAATAATACAAAAATAACATATTTCGGATCAAAACAGTAACTGATCGGGGCATTCTCAGGTCACACGCTAAGAATAACGGATTCTTAACAATTTATTCACCGTAACTCGTTTCAACCTGATAAGAAAAAAGTTTAGTTTAATCATTTTAAACTATTTAAAAACCCAACAACAATAGTCGTACTGTTTAATCTCACATGAGTGAGATTAATTTTTTTTAAAGCAAATTAAAAATACTAAAAATATCAAGGAACATTTAAAAATTTTATAATAATTAATTTACAAGTGTTGACAATGTGTAAATCATCTTTTAGATTTTTAAAACCCTTCAAACCATCATGAATAGTGCTTTTTTCTTAGAGCAAAATTAATAATAATTAATATAGAAGTGTAAAAAATATGCAATCACTTGTAATGACAAGCTTTATAAGTACTGTGATGGGGTCAAATTAAATATAACAAAATGTAATATTACCAACACTGAATGAATATATTTAGAGAAAATTAATTATAAAAATTTAAAAATATTAACATGTAAATATTTTATTATTAAAATAATAAAGTGGATAAAATCCAAAAGAATTTACATCAAAAATTAAAAAGAAATAAAGTTTCAATCAATAAAATAAAAATAAAATAAAGAATAAGAATCTAATTTCTCTATTAATAAATGAAAACAAATTTCAAATGTTACTGAGCTTGTCAGATTTTTTTGTTTCCACGTTCGTGCTTGTCAGATTTTTTTGTTTCCACGTTCGTGTTTACAAATGGATTATTTTGGACGAACACCACGTCCAAAATTGGACAAGATTTGTTGGTGAAAATTTTGTTTAACTCTTCCTTCGAAATCTCTGATGCAATCTAAGTGCATCGCGAAAGGGTAGTATACTCGCATCGCAAAATGGTGGTGCATCACGATCCGAGTACACTTTTGACAGTGTGTCCTCCATCATCATATGAATGTTTCGTCGTCTCTCTCGGGCTCTGGTAAATCTCCGCTTTTTCTTCTTTTTTCAGAGAGAATGTGTAATTGTGGAATCTTCTTATCTTCTTGTGTTGTTTTATGTGTGTACGTAAAGGAAGAAGGGTGAGGACGATACCTGACATTGCACAAATGACGAACACCGCATCCAAAATCGGACAAGATTTGTTGGTGAAAATTCTGTCAACTGTGCCTTCGAAATCTCTGATGCGATTCAATCGCGTCGCGAAATGGTGGTATGCTCTCATCAACGACCACAGCTTCGTACACAAGCACCTCTCCAAATCCTTGCACGACAATCAATTCACTCGTGCCTTTTTGAAGCGAATGTTAGTCCCTACGGAAGACCCCAATGATAACGAAACTCAATCCGTATTCTCAGTACTTACTTGTGCCAATGTCGCTGTTGACGATGACGATGGCGGTGTGCAAAAGTATAGCACTCTTTCTGGGACGGAGGACTTCGATGTTCCTCTTGCTATGAGCCTAGAGATTGGGGATGATCAATCATTTCGCGTTGTAGGTCGTTGTGATGGCATCATTTGTCTAGCTGCTGACCTAATTCTAGTAAGGTGATCTTGTGGAATCCGACAATTCAGGAATTCAGGGTCATTCCCTCGGAGACATTCATTCCGATAGAGTGTATATATCATTTGCCTGTAAGGTATGTGAAGAGTATAGTTTCGGTCATGGAAGGCAGGCAACAACAATTTTGAGAGCTGGGAAAGTATCCTGGACGTCCTTTAGAAACTTGGTGTGGATGAAATTTATCTACCGAATCCGCAGAACGACTGCAGCTTCATTGAATGAACTGGTGCCTATACTGCCTGCTAGGACTCTGTCTTCATGGATCTGGTGAGTGATTTCTTCAGCAAATCCTAATTTTTTTCTTGAATGATCTGGGTGTATGTGCGCGTGTGGAAATATAAATGTTAAATTTGAATGTGTATTTGGTTGAATAATATATTGATGTGTTGTTAAGAATACAAGATAAAGCCTCTCTTCTAGAGGAAGTCGAGAAGGAGGCAAGGACGCAACCAATCTTGCCTTCAATCACTCCACAATTTAAGGAGAGAAAGTAGATGAAAGTGAAAGGAAAAGATACCATAAATTGCCCTTTAAGAATTTCATAAATTACAATTGAACAAAAAGAAGCTAGTTGCTAAAGTATTTAACTATATTTTTATTTTGAATGAATTTAATATTTAAAATTATAGAAAAAAAAAAACAGAAACAAAACCTCCCTCTTTAGTGGGTGGTTTCATGTCTTTAAATTCATTTCTTCTCTTCTTTTTTTTTTAAATATTTTTTTAAAATATGTAAATTAATTATTTAAATAAAATATATATAAAAATGTCAATTGTCACACGCGTATGCGTGTGCGCGTGTGGCAAGAGGCTAGTAATAAATGTATGGGGTATGCTATCCACACACCCTATTTTACTTCTCACACACTTCTTGATAATTTCTGTCCGTTGATCTTCTTCAATTCATCCGATCCGACGGCCGAAAATTAAAAAGGTGTGTGAGAAGTAAAATAGGGTGGGGGGATATCACATCCCTAAATGTATATGGCTTCTTCTAATATGTTGTTCTCTTAAATGGACGTTATTTTTTTGTATATTTCAGAATTTCAATGTATAGAAGGAACAACCCTTAGAACTCCCTCTAAAGCCTCCCCAGAAAAGAAAGTGGAGGGGTCTATTACATGTAAACATATGCTTCAAATTTCTGCATTTCAATAAAAAAAAATCATGATTTTGTAAAATTCTTCGTATAATTTGCAATTGGTTTTGTTTTGTTTTTTTTTTTTTTTGTGCATTTTTAAGTGAATGTGGTTGTGAGTTTTGATCTTTGTCTATAAATTTTTGGGTAATTCATTTTCTGCGTTCTGATGTTTGTTTATAAAATGTTGGGCTATTTTGGTTGCATTTATATATACTTCATTCGATTCGGATTTAGGGTCTGTTTGGACCGCCATCTGCCTTGCTCTGATCATAGCTTAGCTTCCAGTTTTTCAGATAAAGTTCACTTTTTTCCTTCAACAAAACAGCCAAGATCCAAATTTATTCAACAATTTACTAATTTTATGTGTTTTTTTCTTTAGGCTTATTTTCTTAAAACATATGACCCAACTTTTTCTCTTAGAGAGAAGAGCATACAATTTGTCAACAACAATACGCCAATTAGTTTAGAATTGGTATCCGAAATTGCTCCAAAAACCAATTTTACACGCTTTTATTGTTGTATAAATTGATTGAGGGAGGATATCTTCAGAAACTGTTTCAAGTTACAATGAAGACGTATAAATCAGATTTTACCATTCACATACAACATTTGCCGAGTTGCTCTTCTTCTGCTCCTGCTTGCTCTCATTCTGCACCTTCCGTCCTATTCCTATCTGGATAATAATGGTCAACTGATTTAAGATGTTAAGAATAAATTTCCCAGCGGGAAGCAGTGAGAATTAGAGCTCAGCAATCCAACTCGTCAACATGTAGCGGGAGCGGCACTTATCTGGTTGCCTCACTATGTAAATTTGATCTCCAATTTTATCGTCTGAGTCCTGGTTCCGGTACCATGTCCATAAAGCCCAAGTCTCATTCTTCACCTGCAAGTTATGCACATTGAATCCCACGGTTAAAATGTAATCCAGGTGGTTAAACTGAGCTGTCATTCTAGTATATACATTCTCTGCAGACTGCAGCCTAGGCCTGTATGTTAGCTACACAAAACGCAACGAGGATATTCTAGTCAGTCACAGGATCTTCAAGAACTCGGGTCTTGAAAATCTCCCGCTCCATATAAACAAATATCGTGCTGAGTGATTTGATCGTGACGTTGCAATTGAACGATAAAAAGAAATTCAACTTCCTATTTACTGAGTGAAGAGATCTTGAATGGCTAAGCAAAATTATATAATGTGTGGTTTTTATATACTCATTGACTGTCATATTTCTTTCCATACTTTCAAGTTGTATCATATGTAGGGTCATACAAATTAAAGCATGGCATTTATAGAAAATTGAATGCATTATTCAACTGCACTTTTCCCAAACAGAAACACCGAAAAAAGGAGTACCTCAAGGATTCCATGGCCAAAGCTGCTTTCTCTGAAAGCACTGTAATCCGGTTGCCGATCCCAACAAAATTTACCTGCCGCTGGGCCAGAGGTAAAGTTCATTGCACAAAAGGCACCCGCACCTAGGTGTTCATCAGGAGTAGTTAATGGCTCTGGGCAATGACCAGGTTCATCAGCATGATGAACTGCCATCTTCTCTCGATTACCCCCATCACCAACGGTGAGATATACAGGACCACAGGGATCTAAGTTGTAATCATAAACTCGATTCGACCTCTCGTAGGCATGAACCTGTTGTTTTATTCAAGAAAACAGAACAACATTCAGTGAACTTTAAAGCAAAAAGACATTTAGTTACAATGGGGAAAATTAATTCATCATTCATAGACACGAAGGACAACTTAATAAAAACATGCTTGGATCGGAACCAAATGGTAATGCGGTGAAACTAGTTTCAAGATAAGGTCATTGCTGGTCATTGCATTTAAAACAAGTTTGTTTTACATTTCAGTAACCTGGGAACCAATGACTGTTTAATTTCACATTAACTTTGTTTACACAAGCTAAAAGCATAAAATGCAGCTTTTTCCAACTTTCTATCACTATCTGGTATAAATGAAAGACTCAATGGAAGGGCCCTTAAACCACTTCTCACCAAAGTTTCGGACTATAAGAAAGAAACCTGTTACCAATCAAAGATTGTGGCAATAATACTTACATGTCCACTAAACACTATATCGACGCCATAGGAGTACAGTAGCTCTTCCATTTCCATCCTCATACATTCTGCCTCTCTATAATGGGCCTCATAGGTACTATACCAGGGTGGATGCCAAGTAGCTACCAGCCATGGAGTTATGGATCTGTCCACATTAGCCAAATCTTGCTCCAGCCACTTGTATTGCTTCCCTGCAGGGACAGAAACAATAAAACTAAGCTTCATAAAGGAAAAGAAAATGCAAAAAAAAAAAAAAAAGGGATGTTGAGGCAAAACATAAGCTCAAGTTATGCACACTTTTATTACCTGATTTGCTAAAATCAGTGTAGGCTCCAATCATTATAAAATGAATCCCCCCTGCATTAAATGAGTAGTAGAATGTGGACGAGGATCCGCTTTCTTCAGATGGGAATGCAAACCGAGAGCTATAAGCCTCAAATGTCTTATTTTCAGCCTGTTCTTCTATTTCATGGTTCCCTTCGACCACCATTATTGGAACTTTGGAAACTAAACTCTGCATATACCTACACAAATTACCCAGCAATGACAACATAAGAAAACAAGTTCTATGCCATACTTTGCAGCAGCTGCTGTGTGCAATAGAAATAAAGCAGTTTAAGTTTTTACCTTCCCCAGTAATCCCATCTAGGCTGATAGGTCTCATGTATCGGAGAGTTTGGAAATGAGCAAGAATAACAGTCAGATCCAGTTCCATTTGTCAGGTAGAGGTTTGCATATGTAACATCACCAATCAATAGAACAAGATCAGGGTTGTTACTTGTCAAGTGACTTATTGTGGCAGTTGTGTTGTAAGTAAGGCCAAGGTCTCCCACAACTGCTATTCTCTCCGGGTAGCTCCGAGGACCAGTAACTGGCATGGTCCTGAAATGGTGGATTTCACTCATTGAAGGTATAGAAGGATCCCCGCATTGATAAAAATACACTGTATTCGGTTTCAACCCTACATCGAAACAGGAATTAAATCACCAACTCATCAGAAGAATCACATTTCCATCACAACTTATGTTTGGGGAAGTTAAAAGTCCTTTCATTTCAGTCAACCCCAACTTTGTAATTAATTCTCCATTGATACTTTGAAGCAAACGAAGAAGCGAATAAAATCAAACCTGTGAGACGAACATGGTGGATGATTCCGGAAGTGTAATTTTGGAGGCCTTCAAAAGGGTAGAGCTGATTGTAAACAAGAGAATATCCTGAGGCTTCATTTGTTGGTGGATACCCCAGCTTCCCATATTGAACAACGCTTTGCACACTTTTGGGGTCCAATGGCATTATGTTGTCTCCAATCTGATACTCCCCTGCAACAACAATCCATGAAAAATCAAACCCAATAGGCCAAACCCAAAAAATGATAAACCCCAATTCTCAATTGCAAAAAAGCTCAACTCTTTAACTAATAAACCCAGGCCCTGTATGGGACTACTTCTATAGGAAGTACTTCTGCTCATAAGCGCTTTTATTATAAAAACAACAACCCAGAAACTGCCTCTATCATCCAAAAACATTTCAAATTTTTATGTGTCAAATATCATCGGGAGCACTTTTAATTGCGCTTTCTTCCAGAAGCAGTTTCAAACAGGCCCCAATTAACCAAAACCAAAAACTGAAAAATCCCAATTCTCAAATCCTAAAATTCTATTTGCATAAAAGCTTTTAAACACCAACACCAAAAAAAAAAAAAAAAACCTGTTATCCAGGAGATCCAAACGGAGTCGTAATCGGCGGAGAGGGAGACGGAAATCTGCTCGGGCTCAAACCCTTTAACCCGGCGACGGACCCGGTGATCATCATCAGGCAAATCGACGGCGTTGCCGCGCAAGCTGGGATCAAATGGGACGGTGAGGGGCTGGAACGGGCCGTCCAAGGTGGTCGGGATACGGGCCTCAACGGGCCAATAACAACCAACAACCACCGCAATCAAACACGTTATCGCAGCAACTGCAGGAACGGAGGAGCACGGAGAAAATGCCATTTCTGTCGGGGAAGAAGACGCCTTGCTTTAGGTCTCATCCGCCTTTGGAGCGCGAAGATATAGAGGGGAAGGTATAAAGAATATGGAATAAAGGAATATTTCTGGATTCTCATGGTGACGTGGTGGGGAGGTTTCTGTCCCACGCAATCCCAGATGTCCTGGTTGGGACAATAGGGCGGCGGTTGTTACTTTGTGATGGGACATGTTGAGACGGGTTAAGTTGACAAGGAAGTTTTAATAGAGTAGTTTGATTTGGACAATTCTCGCCATGAATTTGATTCAAATGAACGGAAATTTTGCATTTTCTATGTTTTGTTTTTATGAATCAACAGTTGAAATTTTACTTTTCATACATCAATATCAATTTCTAACCAGTAGATTGAATAGATTAAAGAAAATCAGAGATAGAATGTATAAGAAATAAAAAAATGTGTATGTATAAAACCATCTTTTATATTTCAATGAGAAATACATGTGACATAAAACCTTAAAAACAGTCACGGAATTTTGTGAGATGTGCTAATAAATGTTGTCTTTAGATAAATCATCTATGTGATTTGAACCCAATGTATTTCAAGATAAAAAAAATTCTAAATTATCAGTCACCATGTCTTTCTCTATGTAATTTGTTTGGTTGGACTCCATATAAATGTGTCGAAATTACCAAAAAAAAAGTGTTTTTGTTGTTGAGAGCCACCAATTTTCTTTTTGGTTGGGAGAATATGCTTTCAAAAATTCAACTAAACTCAAAAAGGTTGAACACAATTTTGACATTTATGGATTGTGATATAGGGTTGGGCTTGAAGGTTGGTTATCAACATGGGCTGGAATTTATAGACTACATTTCTTTTGTGTTGGGCTTAATTTAGTTACAGTTCTAATTAACGGCTTACGCAAAATATATTAGTGGCGTGTTTACGTGAGGGGAATGAAATAAGAGAAATAGGAATTGTAGTCATTCAAAGTGGTTCAAGTGTAAATCAATACTTGGAGGATAAAAATATATATAAGTCCCACCCAAAATGAGAAATCATATTCTAAACTTCTAAAATTGAATTCTTAAGATTGAGATTATATTGGATTCTTCAAAATGAAGCCCATCAAAAATCCAACTTTTGTACCAATATTTGATTAAATATTGTTAAATTATTTAATTAAATAACTATCTTTGTTGAAATTTATATTATGAGAATACGTGTAGCAAATAAAAACATTTATTAAAAAGAAGGCAATTTAGTAATTAAGTTGGTTTCAATTCCGATTCATGTAAATAAGTAAACATCTTACATGTCATTTGCATCATTCATACTCTAATTCCGGGTAAACAATTTCAACAAGAATTCAATTTTGATTCCACATCATTCCAACTCCTTTTCAATTCAATCCCTCTGCAATTCAATTCTTCTCATTCTGATTGGGATTATTAAACAAGTCATAGAAGAGGAAAAAAATCGCACATATACACATAATATTCGACAACAATGTAAATGTTTTTAACAACTCAAGCTATATAAGATTACGAAATGTACTAGCCAATCACCATTTAGTTAAATTTGGCTTACTTTGTCATAACTAGATTATTAAGAGATATGCCAACATCAATGCATTTCCAATTGCAAAAGATTTGAGGTTAGATCTTACCTTGCATGCCTTTGAATCCAAGCCAGATCTCAAATCCAATGGTAATCATATCCATGGACTGATAACTTTTTTTCATTGACTGGTTTTGGTCAAAGTTAGGCAAAATTCCACCCTCATTTTCAAAAATTCACAAAAGTATCTGCCAGCATGTGGGTGCCAAGTGCTAACCACTTCTCTTTTTTTTCTTCCTTTATCCTTCTTTGCTTTTTGGCTAATTAAGTAGAGCAATTAGCCCTAATTGTAAAGTTAATCACCTGAAAGCTTTTAACCCATTTAAACTTGTGAAGTTGATACAGCACACCACTGTGGTTGGATGCCTGCTTTCAAGGTTCAACTTTCAACAATGCTTTGCCTTTCCCCTTCCCCTTCAAAGCCTGCCACAAGCAAGCATGCTCTACCCTCTTTGTTTTAATTCCCCAAGGAGACCAAGTGAGATGTCTCTAAGGCCCTTGTAAGCGGGATGTATATCTCCTTCTGTCTATCTCTCACATATCTCTCTTGTGACAAGGGGAGAGAAATATACAGACGGGGATAGAAGAATCTCCGCCTGTATACGCAAGGCATAAATACTATGAAAACTACAAAGAGAGGTTTAGGAGAAATGAACATGCAAACGAGATAGGTTTAGGAGAAATGAACATGCAAACCAGATAAAGTCTACACTTCTCATTTCATCTTAAATACACCTTTCAAATTCAGACATAAATCAAAATACACAAAGTTATGCATATTATGTTCCTGAAAGGATTACCAAGGTTTTTGAGAAACCGAAATAAACGAGTACCTAGTAGACTTTTGAGATTCTCAGTCATACAATGTATAGAACCGCTACTATTTGACAGCTAGAGACACTTGGAAACATAAACACTTTGCCGTGATTTATAATTTCCGAGAACAACTCCAAGAGAAAAAAAAATGAAGTTAACTTCTGTACCTGACTGCCCTAGAATATTACAGGAAAAATTCATCCCAAAAGATAGGGAAAACAGAAGGGCAGCGAGAAGGGAAGTTTGGAGTGCCGCTTCTGTACTGCCTCTTAGCCTTTGGTTCTCATAATTGTAATGCTGCCTTTCCCTCCTTCAGTGCGGATTTTAGTTTTTCCAACGACAGGCTTCCCTGAAAAGGCCGAAGTAGGGTAAGCTGCAGGTTCTTCCTGTTTTTGCTTTGCTTTTGAAGGTGGTGGAGTGCGGATCCGCTGGTTTATGTCCTTCAGAGTTACATCTCCATGGGCACCAGAGGGTTTAATGAAGGCAAATGGATATGCCACAGAAGTAGCCAACTTAGTGGGAGTCCGAATGTAAGACTTCCTACCTATGCATACAAACAGAGAACCTAGAGGATTGAATTTTCATTTCAAAAGTTTGAGAGCATAGTTTGTGATGATCCAGGCAAAGAATCCTGGTATGTGTGTGTGGATGGGTGGGTGGGGGTGTAGAGAGAGAGAGAGAGAGAGAGAGAGAGACATTTCTATAAGTAGGATAACTTTGAGGAAGGACGGGAAGCTGATAAAGAGAACATTGGATACAGGAAACAAAAAATGTCACGAACATGACAGTACCTTTAAAAATAACATTTTGAGGCGTTCGGGTAATTCGTTGTTGAACCACATTCACTTCATGCTCAGGTCGGAGGTCACATAACTCTGCAACAGAAAATTGAACTTGTATGCTTAGAATTAATTGAGGGATAAGGTTATAAAGGAACAAAGGCAAAAGTACAAATATAATGGAAAGAACCAAATGTAATTTACTTGTAATGTCAAGCTGAACATCTGATGCCCCAGCGAAATTCCTGAGTATCAAATAATAAAGCAATCAGATTATTGTACATTACTAAATGATTTTACAAAAAAAAAAATATATATAGAGAGCTTCCAGAAGCATACAACTCATCAGGGCTGAAATGCATATCGGTATTGTTGAAGCATTCAGCAATCCACTCATCAGGTGACTGATCGAGGCCTTCAAAGCAAGATGAAGAAGAATTTCCTAACATAAATAATATGATTATCAGAAATCCTAGGCGTAAATGTTCAAGTAAATTTAGGAAGACATATTTTGGAAGAGACAAACCTGCAAACCCTGATACCCATTGCGATGCTTCAGAAAAAGCCTCTTCAATTGAATCCAACCTCTCCTAAATATAAAGCACAAAAATTAGGCTACGAAAAATACATGGCACATGTAATATGCTGTGTCTCCAAGGAAAAACTTAAGTTCCAAGTCTTTCAAATTCTGACTTCCAGGGCAAAAAATACAACTTGAAACTCCCTTATCAACACAAAACCCAGAGCTAGACTACTAGAGAAACTGCAACCCTGTAACATGTGCAGCACACCAATTTGACATGCCTACTTCAAATGGGTGGCAAATATAATGCAAAAGCCATCTTTCTACTGAACACCCAAATCACCATTGCAATGCAGTAGCATTGGGATAGAAAAGAATATGTACCGTCATGCCACAAATTGAATAGCAGTTTGGCACGCAGCCTAAGAACAATACAACGTTCCCAATAGATGTGATAATTCGGACAAGAAAGCACATACATTTGTATTCAAGAATGAAGATGACAACTCGTCACATGAAAGGGAAGGATCTAAATCTTGAGTGTCAAATTGTAGCATCCTGCGCCTCTTTATTTGCGAGAAGGACTGTTCTTCTGGTTCTGGTTCCTTGCTCCTATCATCTGAAATCCACTTGTTTGATATTCAACAACATAAAAGGGCAGTGTTCCTGAATTGCAGATACACGAAAAGCAAGAAAATGCCAAAGAACAATGAGGAGGGAAAATAACAAGGAAGCCTAACCTCTGAAGTTAACATGATATGCCAAATCTCCACAAGCCTTAACTGGTGTTGTTTCATCATCGAACATGTAGGAAATGTCTTCTTCGTTCTGTGGCACTCCCTTCCACATGCATTCAGACATGTCTGCTCAAAAGAATAGTACCAAGCAAGAAATCACTAACTTCATCCTTGTATAACAATATTATTAACAAATTACGAACTGCGGCGAGAACATACCATGGTTGGAGTCCTTTTGGGTAAGCTGATTATTCCTTCTCCAATTCCAGTGCTCACTATCGTCATTTCACACAGTAGAAAGGAAATTAAAATGATGTCAGAAATAAGTCCTAATATACTTCAGGTTACTTAAATGAAAACCACAAAACTGCAACCATCTCAAGAATGAGCCACAGTGGACATTTAAACAATGTAAATGATAAGCTCAGGCTCCAAGGCTGCATATGCAGCTTATATAGTTAATTTCTTCCAGAATTTACATTTTGAATATTTTCTTGTTTTTCAATTTCTCTTGACGCTGGTGGGTTCAACATAGCTGGAATGAAACAAATCAGTAACTAAAAGATCAATGTAACCAACGAAGCTGCCAATCGAAAACAAGCAGAATGGAAT